AGTCAGCTAACATGACCTTTATGAATGATGAAGTCTTTTCTGTGCTTTATGTGTATTTTTGATTACATAAATGCTTCAAAATTCACAAAAAGTGATGTTAGCTGATGAAGATTCTCATAGAACAAAACGTATCAAATCTCCTAAACCAGTATTAACCACAGACCTTATTTTCGGCGTTTATCCAAAAACCCTCCAAAAATTCCATTCATTTCCCCATAGGCTTTGTCCAACTAACCATGGCGGAGTTAGTGCCTACAAAAAGACACCATTACTATCTCTCTCTAATGTAGTCAACTGGGTGGGACTTCCAACTTCATTGGCTGATCCCTCCTGGTGACCCTGTTGGAGTCATGTCCAACCGTGTCATCAGGAGGGATCAGCCAATCGTGAAAAAGAAAGTTGACTATTTCAAAATGGAGATAGCCTCAATGGCGCTGCCCATGCTGTCACAGGTGCTATAATGGATCGGATACAAAGACGTGTCCTCTATCTATCTCTACGGTATTTACTGCAGTCCCCCTGAGATCCATTGGCCCTACACAACTTTACTGTCCAATTTGCATAGGTTATTTGTACTTTTGCTGTCTTATGTTATTTCCCAACCCTGGGGGTATGAAGCAGTTAATTAAAACAGAAAGAAAAACAGAAAGTTATCTATCTGTCCTCTCTGTGGTTGTCCTCTCCTCATACTAGGACAGCAAACATTAGCTGTGTGCATCTGTTTGTTTGACTCTCACTGTCTGTTTTGATGTTGTGCAACATTCCTGGCTGTGATTCCTCTTCTGATGCACTTACTTTACATCCTCTCTCTCTCTCGCTCTCTCTTTCTCTCTCTCAACTGTCTCTCTCTCGCTCAACTGTGTCTGCAGAGGTTTATCGTAGTTTCTCAGAAAGGCTGATGCTCATTCTGCTACCTCTATATTTACAAAAGGAAGTGAGACATGTCTTGGGGGTATTGTTGTTGGTCTATGAGCCTTGCTTTTGAAAGTTTGTGTGTATTAAATAAAGCACCTGGCTGAGTTTAATGGAAGTTCTGTCTTAAACAGCAGGAAAAAAGGGGCTCCTTCTTTTTGTAGCAAAGATTTTGCAAGTGTGCATGTGTGTGTGTGTGTGTGTAGGACAGGGTGTGTGCATGCATGGGCATGAGTGATTTGTGTGAGAAGAAAGATATCCTATAATTGAGTTGTGATGCTACATTCCATGCAAAGTGCATTCCCAACAAGTCTTCAGCTCTGCAGCTGCAACTGTTCAGTCAGTGTGATACTCACAGGAATCAGCCTGGAAGCTGAGCAGAGAATGACACATTGTTCTGGCCAAGATCAAGTCCCTGGATTATTTTACTGATGTCTGTGATAGACCATTAAGCAACACTTTACATTGAGTTGCCCTTCATGCCATTCAGTTACTTTGGAACTGCTTTAGTAACCAGAGTGGAATGACTCAGTTGTAGGCCTACCCAGTAACTGCAGATAAGGCACATGAAACAATGATTGAATTGTAATAAACAGAAATTGTAAGACTACGTTTACACAGGCAGCCTAATACTAATATTTTTTACACTAATTGGTCTTTTGACCAATCAGATCAGCATTTGCCAAGAATTGGGCAAAAGATCATAATTGGGCTGCCTGTGTAAACGCAGCCTGATAGTCCTGATTCAAATTACTTACTAGTTAATGTGTAATAACATGTAGATCAAGACATAAAAATTCAATTGAACTACAACTTACTTTTGACAAAAGTCTAATGTCCATTGCTCGTGTTTCTTGGCCCAAGCAAGTCTCTTCTTCTTATTGGTGCCCTTTCGTAGTGGTTTCTTTGCAGCAATTTGACCATGAAGGCCTGATTCACACAGTCTCCTCTGAACAGTTGATGTTGAGATGTGTCTGTGACTTGAACTCTGTGAAGCATTTATTTGGGCTGTAATTTGTGAGGCTGGTAACTCTAATGATCTTATCCTCTGCAGCAGAGGTAACTCTGGGTCTTCCATTCCTGTGGCGGTCCTCATGAGAGCCAGTTTCATCATAGCACCTGATGTTTTTTGCGACTTCAAATTTCTTGAAATGTTCTGTATTGACTGACTTTTATGTCTTAAAGTAATGATGGACTGTCATTTCTCTTTACTTATTTGAGCTGTTCTTGCCATAATATGGACTTGGTCTTTTACCAAATAGGGCTATCTTCTGTATACCCCCACTACCTAGTCACAACACAACTGATTGGAACAAACGCATTAAGAAGGAAATAAATTCCACAAATTAACTTTTAAAAAGGCACACCTGTTAATTAAAATGCATTCCAGGTGACTACCTCATGAAGCTGGTTGAGAGAATGCCAAGAGTGTGCAAAGCTGTCATCAATGCAAAGGGTGGCTATTTGAAGAATCTCAAATATAAAATATATTTTGATTTGTTTAACACTTTTTTGGATACTACATGATTCCATATGTGTTATTTCATAGTTTTGATGTCTTCACTATTATTCTACAATGTAGAAAATAGTAAAAATAAAGAAAAACCCTTGAATGAGTAGGTGTTCTAAAACTTTTGACAGGTAGTGTAAATGCTTCAAAATTCTCAAGAAGTGATGTTAGCTGATGAAGATTTTCTCATAGAAAAAAATTTATAAGATCTCCTAAGCCTGTATTTACCACAGACCATATTTTTGGCATTTATCCAAAAACCCTACAAAAACTCTATTCCTTTTCCCATAAGCTTTGTCCAACTAGGCATTGTGTAAGATACCTGTGGTGCTGATGTTTAGGCTGAGGTAGGTATAGTTTCTTGTGTGCTCTAGGGCAACGGTGTCTAGATGGAATTTGTATTTGTGGTCCTGGCAACTGGAGCTTTTTTGGAACACCATTAGTTTTGTCTTACTGAGATTTACTGTCAGGGACCAGGTCTGACAGAATCTGTGCAGAAGATCTAGGTGCTGCTGTAGGCCCTCCTTAGTTGGGGACAGAAGCACCAGATCATCAGCAAACAGTAGACATTTGACTTCAGATTCTGGTAGATTGTCTGCTTTCAATTTTTTGATTTGATAGGTTAGGTGAAAGGTCAAATATACTTTTTAGGCTTTCTACTGCCAAGTTTACACCTTCACTATTACTCTCTCTCGCTCTCTCTTTCTCTCTCTCAACTGTCTCTCTCTCTCCTAACTGTGTCTGCAGAGGTTTATCGTAATTTCTCAGAAAGGCTGATGCTCATTCTGCTGCCTCTACATTTACAAAAGGAAGTGAGACATGTCTTGGGGATATTGTTGTCGGTCTATGAGCCTTGCTTTTTAAAGTTTGTGTGCGTTAAAGAAAGCACCTGGCTGAGTTTAATGGAAGTTCTGTTCTAAACAGCAGGTAAAAAGGGGCTCCTTCTTTTTGTATCAAAGATTTTGCAAGTGTTCTGTTTAAAGTGTGTGTGCGTGTGAATGCATGGGTGGGTCAGGGTGTGTGCATGCATGGGCATGCATACATGTACCTGATGTGTGTAATTAATATGAGGGATTTATGTGAGAAGAAAGATCTCCTATAATTGAGTTGTGAAGCTACATTCCATGCAAAGTGCATTCCCAACAGCTCCCTTCTTCAGCTCTGCAGCTGCAACTGTTCAGTCAGTGTGATACTCACAGGAATCAGCCTGGAAGCTGAGCAGAGAATGACACATTGTTCTGGCCAAGATCAAGTCGGGGCGGCAGGTAGCTTAGTGGGTAAGAGCGTTGTGCCAGTAACCGAAAGGTCGCTGGTTCTAATCCCCGAGCCAACTAGGTGAAAAATCTGTCGATGTGCCCTTGAGCAAGGCACTTAACCCTAATTGCTCCAGTAAGTCGCTCTGGATAAGAGCGTCTGCTAAATGACAAAAAAAAATAAAAAAAAAATAATAAAAAAAAAAAACATTATATAACAAAAATATTTAAAAAAAAATAAAAGGCCCTGGATTCTCTTACTAATGTCTATGATAGACCGTTAGGCAACACTTTACATTGAGTTACCCTTCATGCCATTCAGTTACTTTGGAACTGCTTTAGTAACCAGAGTGGAATGACTCAGTTGTAGGCCTACCCAGTAACTGCAGATAAGGCACATAAATCAAAGATTGAATTGTAATAAACAGAAATTGTAAGACTACGTCTACACAGGCAGCCTAATTCTGAATTTTTTTTTCACTAATTGGTCTTTTGACCAATCAGATCAGCTCTTTTGCTAATAATTGGGCAAAAAAAAAACAGCCTGATAGTCCTGATTCAAATTACTTAATAACATGTAGATCAATACATAAAAATTAAATTGAACTACAACTTACTTTGACAAAAGTATTCCTGTAGAAGACAAAGAAAAAGGATAGCTGTTCAGAATCAGACAGCAGTGCAGCTCTGCAGCAATTGCGCAATACTCCCAACACTAGGAATGGTAACAGTCAATACATTTACATTTCAGTCATTTAGCAGACGCTCTTATCCAGAGCGACTTACAGTTATGTACTCGTATGAGATGTAGGCCTAACTAGAACATATATATGCTTCTTTAGAGGCAGAGCAGAAATGACAGCGAAAGAGAATGCAGTGAGTGCATACATTATTTTTTTATTTTTCAAACTGGCCCCCCGTGGGAATCGAACCCACAACCCTGGTGTTGCAAACGCCATGCTCTACCAACTGAGCTACATCCCTGCCGGCCATTCCCTCCCCTACCCTGGCCAATTGTGCGCCGCCCCATGGGTCTCCCGGTCGCGGCCGGCTACGACAGAGCCTGGAATCGAACCAGGATCTCTAGTGCGATGCAGTGCCTTAGACCACTGCGCCACTCAGGAGTATAGTACTCAGAGATCACTACACACGACGACATCAGAGAAACTCATAACGGCTGCATGGTTTTTATTTACAAGATGCAGTATGTACAAAAGTTCACAGAAAAAAATTAAAACATTAATTGAAGACCAACAGACAAACATTGTAAACATCATATGAATTTGTTCGGAAATATTGGACAATATTTGATGTGCTGTAGCTTACTCAATATAAAACACTTGTTAGTGTTTAGTTAGCTTGTGTAGAATATGGCTTTTAATACATATGGCTATGTTGTATGGGTATGTTGTATAGGTACGTAACGGTTTCTTATGGCTATGATGATAGAACTCTGGTGTGCAGACAGTAAGTTAAAATGTTTTTATTCTATACATAAACTTGACTGCAGTTGTACATTCAGTGCAACAATTTAATGTGCATGTCAGTCACTTGATTGACAAAGCTTACTGCATTAGAACAGCTAGAACAGATAGATTGAGAAGAAAAAGCCAACCAGTGCTCCAAAACACATTGCAAAAACAAAAGGACGTATTCTTTCAAAAGCAGGGATTCTATTTTTATTTTTTTTGCATTTTGTGTGCGCCACTGAAGAGATCCACTTCAGTAACTATAGCAACTTCTGTACAGTAGCATCCAGGTCAGTCCACATAACAGGAGGCTCCTAGTAGAACCAGGAAGCCCATTGGATGGTGGGCTGCTATTGGTTGGTGGCTGTGTGATGTATAACTTCATCCCGGTTTCCCCTCCATTCTCCCTGTGTTGCATGTGAACTGCACGTGTGGTTAACAACCTCACTTTTTTACTTTCCAGATCTGCCCTTTCTTCCTCCCCAGCAGGAGAGGCCAGAGTGGGGAAGGAACAAGTGTCCACCGAGGTCGAGCACCCCAGCTCCAGCCATTTGGAGAAAACAAATGAAGTGAAGTTGAGAAGTTCCTCCAGAGAGGAGGCGGCGGAGGGAAGAACAGAAGGGTCAGGATCATCGAATCTCTGTGAGAGAGGGATGTGATAAGGGAGGAGAGGAAAGGGGGATAAGGGAGGAGAGCAAAGGGGGATAAGTGAGGAGAGCAAAGGGGGATAAGGGAGGAGAGCAAAGGGGGATAAGTGAGGAGAGGAAAGGGGGATAAGGGAGGAGAGGAAAGGGGGATAAGGGAGGAGAGCAAAGGGGGATAAGGGAGGAGCGCAAAGGGGGATAAGGGAGGAGAGGAGTGGTTATTTAACAAACAAGTGCAAGTGCTCCGTCATTGATTGATAGCCATTTCTCTGGGGAGTTAACCTCTGTTATATACATTGCGTACATTATAGGTGACCTGAACAGGAAAACTATGCGCTGGTTATAAGTCAGGCCACATGGTCAGGAAAAAAAACGTTACCTCCCTTGTTTTAGCCCTTTTCTGTCATTTTTGACTGTAACAACAACACATCTTTATAGTGTTTTGTTGCATTTGCCAAGGCACAGTTATGTTTTATTTTTACAGTAGTCCAAAATGTTTAAGGCTGCTGTGTCAGTCTCTGTTGAGTACATGCTGCTACTTGTTCACCCCCTATGGCAACCTACAGTACACTCTCTCTATCCAAAACAGTTCATACAGACTAATAGAGTCATAGCCTTGGGAAGTAGTTTGGCGAAGAACGTTTTGCCGGCACTACAGAGGGCTATATCGGTCCACTAATACAGGACTAGTAAAGGACCAGTGCACTACTTTTGTGAAAAAAGAACATGTTTTATTTTTTTATTCTGGTTTTTCTGGGGGTGCTGCAGCACCCATACTTCCCGCGACTATGACTAGAGTATGTCCACGAGATGGTAAAGTATACGTACCCCTTTTGTCATACCCCTGTCATCCAGGGCTTGTATAAGGTTGGAGATGAATTCGAAGCTATGGTGCTCTGGCCACAGCTGGCTGCGGAGCCTGAGCCAGGAGTCAGAGAGAACAGTCGCAGCACGAAACACACAACACTGGAGGGACAGCCGAGACAGAGGTAGGATTTTAGACACAGCGGTTACGCTGATGATTTGGATAAACGGAGCACAACACAGAGCTGATCATCATTGTGCTGAGTTATTGATTATCCTCCCCGGTAACGCTGACAACAACACAAAGGTAGACTTTCGAGTACTGGAACCAGTGGAGGCTCATAATAATGGCTGGAACAGAGCGAATAGAATGGCGTCAAACACATGAAAACCACGTGTTTGATACTGTATATTTGATATCATTCCACTCATTCCGCTCCAGCCGTTACCACGAGCCGTCCTCCCGTATTGCTCAACAGAGAATCAGAATGAAGGATTTAATGATATATATATCAGATACCCTAAGTGTGACATGTTTGTATAAAACACGAGAATAAATCATTTACTCAAATGGTGTCATTTAATCAATAGATGGTGCCTCACGGGATCAGTGTTACACAGCAGGTTGTCATTGTAGTGGTGGGAAATCCGATAGTCTTTAGGGAACACCTTACGCTTGGAGGAAAAAAATGGTTCAGGAATCACAGTATACACAAGAGCATCTATGCCAATAGACAAACAATCTAATTGACAAAAAATGTAACCACTAGGAAGTGAAAGCATATTTGTTTAAACCACTGTCATTACTCAGGGTGCATGCAGGATAGCCACAATGTTAAACTCACAAATCCAGCGTGGTCTGAGTTAATGGTGGTTTGAAGATTCTTGACGATCCCCCCTCAAAAAGTCATCACATCCACTACCTTGGACTGTCAATATTGATAGCAACAGTAAAACTGTGTGAGAGAGATCGAAGTAGAGAGAGAGAGAGAGAGAGAGAGAGAGAGCGACAGAGCAATGCAGCAGGTTAATGGATGGAACATTTATGTGTCCTGCCCATGTGGTTCCAGCCACATGCTTATTGAGAAACATCATGATTTCATGTTAACTTATTGCTTTAATTAATAGTTTGAGCAAATGAACTACAAACCTAAATTACAGAACCACTATATGAATTACAGTACAATGGTAATGTGGTGAAATTATTTAAACAAATACAAATCCACTAATAAATCAATTCACTTTTTGCATACTCTGAATTGAGGTCATCACTGAATTCCTCTTACCTGATCGTGACATCCTTTTATCTTCATGAGAAAGGCCACTTCTCCATTTCTGTGGTTGAAAGCATGCAATACGCAGATCAAATAAGTCCTCTGGTCTGAGTAGGCAAAGTTTCCTCTGCGGCTCCTTCAAGTGTGTGACACAAACGAGAGAGAGCTCTGAGCTCTGTATTTTCTTCTTCTACTACAGTTGAGACTCCAGCTTCGTTGACCTCTCTTTTAGAATTCCTCCTTTTGTCTCCCTGGTACTTTCCAAATCTCTTTACCCCATTCTCTCTCTCACGCAATCTGCACTGCGCTCTCACTTTGGATTTCCCCACCTATCAGCCTGTCAAACAGCAGCCTTTCCCGTTTCCTCGCTTTCCCCTTTCTGTTTCCCTAATGACCCAGTATATTACAGACCTCACTCTCTTCTCACCCTTTATATTGGCTAATGGACCCAATATCTCTCCCTCTCTCTGGGCAGTCTGTCTGTGTGAGCTCAGACAGAAGCTAGCCTGAAAGTGAAAGTGCTTGCTATCTGCTCCCTTTTAGTCTCTCAGACCCTCCCACCACCAGTCATTTCACCTCTCTATTCAAAGAGCTTTATTGGCATGGAAAACATATGTTTACACTGCCAAAGTAAGTGAAATAGTTCATATACAAAAGTGAAATAAAATATCAAAAATGAACCATAAATATTAAACTCACAAAAGTTCCAAAGGAATAGAGACATTTCAAATGTCATAGTATGGCTATATACAGTGTTGTTATGATGCGCAAATAGTTAAGTACAAAAGGGAAAATAAAGAAACATAAATATGGGTTGTATTTACAATGGTGTTTGTTCTTCACTAGTTACCCTTTTCTTGTGGTAACAGGTCACAAATATTGCTGCTGTGATGGCACACTGTGGTATTTCACTCAATAGATATGGGAGTTTATCAAAATTGGATTTGTTTCCGAATTCTTTGTGGGTCTGTGTAATCTGAGGGAAATATGTGTCTCTAATATGGTCATATATTTGGCAGGAGGTTAGGAAGTGCAGTTCAGTTTCCACCTCATTTTGTGGGCAGTGTGCCAGGTCTGCCTCTCTCTCTCTGCACCCCACCCCCAAATCCAAACGAGGCCTCAGCAGGCTTAAGTCATGCCCCCCCCCCCCCCAATATGACAAACTAGTATTGGGAAAGTGAGGGGTGATCAGAAGTTGATCAATTAGTACATTGTCATGTTCAGGTTTTACGTAGTAATTGTTGTAGTACTACTTCTTGTGTCACTTACATTTTAAACATGGGCCAAGAGAAACAATGAATGTTCTAGAGGTCCAAAGGGAAAAGGAAGACAGAGTTCTGCAGTCCATCAGACCAACATTCTTCAGCCTCCCAGAGGCACCATCAGTCCTAACCCTTTTCACCTTGGTCCTCTGCATAGGGCAGTAGGATGATCCCTGATCTCAGGTCAGTTTAGCATATTCTTCCTTTATGGTTCAGGTTAGGATGTGAGAAGGATAAGATGATCCTAGATCTGTGTCTGAGCTTCTACCCAGAGTGCCCTCTGTAATTATTGGGACAGTGAAGCATTTTTTCTTCTTTTGGTTCTGTACTCCAGCACTTTGGATGATACAATGACTATGAGGTTAAAGTGAAAACTGTCAGCTTTAATTTGAAGTTTTTTTTCCTGCATATCGGGTGAACTGTTTAGAAACTACAGCACTTTTTGTACATAGTCCCCACATTTTAGGGGACCAAAAGTATTGGGACAAATTCACTTATATGTGTATTAAAGTAGTCAAATGTTTAGTTTTTGGTCCCATATTCCTAGCATGCAATTATTACATCAAGCTTGTCACTTTTATTGTAAATAAGAATATAATATGTTTCTAAACACTTCTACATTAATGTGGATGCTACCATGATTACGGATAGTCCTGAATGAATCGTAAATAATGATGATTGAAAAAGTTACAGATGCAAAAATATCATACCCCACCAAAAATGCTAACCTCCCATGTTCGCATGTCTTAGGGATATGATATTTCTGCGTCTGTAACTTTCTGTTTTATTATCTACTCTACTATATCATAAGACCTAACGTTCCACCAGCGGGCTGGCCAACAGTTTACAATATCAAATCAAACATTGACTGGGTCATGTGTAACCAACTGGATTTCTTTGTTCTGTGTTGGAAACGCTCTTTAAGTATGTATGATTCGCTGGTACTTTCCATTTATTCTAAAAAAAACTAGCTCTCAAATTTCACCCAGTCTTTTTAAGAACTACAATACAAGTAGAACTACACACAAAAATGTATGTTATAATATGCAGTAATTTGCACAATCATTATATACATACGCAGTAAAAATAATAAAATCAAAGCCTCGTGCCAGTGGATTTTACAAGTCTGCAGACTTCAGCAAAAGCCTTCTGAAAGAGATCAAATAACTGCGAAAACACAAAACGCTTTGCAGTTATTTAGTTTTAATAATGAGTTACTAGCTCGTTAGGGAAGAAGCCCCTGCTGATGTGGTAGAATATAACACAATGATATGTTGAGGGACTGAGAGCTCATTATGCAAGGGTTTTTATGTTGCGGGACACCCGAAGACCTAGGACTGTTGTTTTACACCACTTGAGGTTTCTTGGCTGACAGCCACTCATTGTAAAAAAGCATGTGAGTGGGAGCTGGCAAAGGACACCAGTTTATCCCCCCCCCCCCCCCTACTTTTTTCTCCCTTCTTTCTTTGATTTAATGACTCTCCACAAGATGGTGCCAGTCGGGGAAAAGGATGAATATCACACCAATATTTCAGTTTCAGCTCAAGCAGTTCTTTTATTTGAATATCTCTGTACAATGTGTTAACAAACTATTGACACTTTTATAATAAGTTACACATACAATTGTGGACAGTGTTCCTATAAGAAGTCCCTTTTGATAAATAAAAAACCAGATACATTATGTAAAACGTAATAAGTAATTAGTATCTGAATAAATTATTAATTTGAAACCGAACCATGGAGTGGATTTTTGTTCTTTATTGTGAAGGATGAGTTTTAATATAGTCACCACCTGGACCCAAACGCATCCCTCAGTCAGTCGATCTGTCATTCCTCACTGATTCCCACTCGCTTTCTTTCCCTTTCTCTCTCCGTCTGTCCAGATACAGTAGGAGATACACGCAGAGGAGGCTGGTGGGAGGAGCTATAGGAGGACAGGCTCATTGTAATGGCTGGAATGGAATAAATGGAGCAGTATCAAACACATCAAACATATGGAAACCATTTTTGACTACGTTCCATTTATTCCATTCCAGCCATTATAATGAGCCCACCCTCCTATAGCTCCTCCCACCAGCCTCCTATGCTGAGATGCAGTATATTTCACTCCAGCTGTATGGTCTCTCCCACTGCTCTCTCACTGGCTAAGGGGCCTCTCCCCTCCTCTGACAGCAGTCATCAGATGGCTCTTGTAGGTCTTGCTGAGTCCTGTCATCCAGAACTTGAGCAGCCTGACGTTGTCCTCCTCCCCAGGCCCTGTGGCACCCAGCAGGGCCAACACCTTCTGGGTGTCCTCCCTCCCTCGCCCATCCACCTTGGAGAACTTAAACAGCACCTTCACTTTACTAAGGAATTGAAGGGATGGGGGGAGGGGGGGGGGGGGGTTGGGTTAAGGGGAGGATGGGTATGGAGAGAAGAGTGAGGGAGAGGGGGGTGGGAGGAGTTATTGGAATTTCCCAATGATTCTGGACTACATTAAGCATTCCACATCATCCTGTACTGCACAGCCAATGTAACCAGTCTGGGGTTTTGGGGGGTTTCATTGGGGGCCTTGTTTGATTGTTTAATGCCCCAATATCTACAGTTGCACACCTACATAATACATGACCTGTTTAGAAAAAGCAAAAGAAGTGAAACTTTAAAGTTTAGGGAAATTCCCTGCTTATCAGAAGGGTTGTTGTTACTCACTTCATCCACTCCTCCTTCAGACACAGCAGACAGTGAGAGACCACGTCCACTGACAGGTTCTCATTGGACAACGCCACCTCGATCTTATTCAACAACGTGGGACCTGAGAGAGGGGTGGGGGGGAAGAGAGAGAGAGGGCGGGAGAGAGGGACAGAGAGCAAGGGAGGGGGAGTGATAGAGGTGAAGAGAGACAGGGAGAGAGCAAGAGAAATTCAGGTCAATAGATGGACACTAGAAAGTTAATGGAAGGAAATTTCACACGACTAATTGCATCTCTTTGAACTTTGCCCTCATTGTTTTCAACTAGAGGCCCTTGAAGAAGGCATGTATAATGTATACCTTCATGTTGATGTTGTACAGTCGTGGTCAAAAGTTGAGAATGACACAAATATGAATTTTCACAAAGTCTGCTGCCTCAGTTTTTATGATGGCAATTTACATATACTCCAGAATGTTATGAAGAGTGATCAGATGAATTGCAATTAATTGCAAAGTCCCTCTTTGCCATGAAAATGAAATTAATCCCCCAAAAACATTTCCACTGCATTTCAGCCCTGCCACAAAAGGATGATTATCTTGTTAACACGGGTGAGAGTGTTGACGAGGACAAGGCTGGAGATCACTCTGTCATGCTGTTTGAGTTAGAATAACAGACTGGAAGCTTTAAAAGGAGGGTGGTGCTTGAAATCATTGTTTTTCCTCTGTTAACGTTGGTTACCTGCAAGGAAACACGTGCCGTCATCATTGCTTTGCACAAAAAGGGCTTCACAGGCAAGGATATTGCTGCTAATAAGATTGCACCTAAATCAACCATTTATCGGATCATCAAGAACTTCAAGGAGAGAGGTTCAATTGTTGTGAAGAAGGCTTCAGGGCGCCCAAGAAAGTCCAGCAAGCGCCAGGACCGTCTCCTAAAGTTGATTAAGCTGCAGGATCGGGGCACCAGCAGTGCAGAGCTTGCTCAGGAATGGCAGCAAGCAGGTGTGAGTACATCTGCACGCACAGTGAGGCAAAGACTTTTGGAGGATGGCCTGGTGTCAAGAAGGGCAGCGAGGAAGCCACTTCTCTCCAGGAAAAACATCAGGGACAGACTGATATTCTGCAAAAGGTACAGGGATTGGACTGCTGAGGACTGGGGTAAAGTCATTTTCTCTGATGAATCCCCTTTCCGATTGTTTGGGGCATCCGGAAAAGAGCTTGTCCGGAGAAGACAAGGTGAGCGCTACCATCAGTCCTGTGTCATGCCAACAGTAAAGCATCCTGAGACCATTCATGTGTGGGGTTGCATCTCAGCCAAGGGAGTGGGCTCACTCACAATTTTGCCTAAGAACACAGCCATGAATAAAGAATGGTACCAATACATCCTCCGAGAGCAACTTCTCCCAACCATCCAAGAACAGTTTGGTGACGAACAATGCCTTTTCCAGCATGATAGAGCACCTTGCCATAAGGCAAAAGTGATAACAGTGGCTCGGGGAACAAAACATTGACATTTTGGGTCCATGGCCAGGAAACTCCCCAGACCTTAATCCCATTGAGAACTTGTGGTCAACCCTCAAGAGGCGGGTGGACAAACAAAAACCCACAAATTCGGACAAACTCCAAGCATTGATTATGTGTCACGCTCGTGGATTGACGGAATGGACCAAGGTGCAGCGTGGTAGGCGAACATATTACTTTATTCGATTAACACAGACAAAACAACAAAATACACACAAACGTAAAGTCTGCAGGCTAGAAAGCCACTACACAAAAACAAAATCCCACAAACTAAGGTGGGAAAAAGGCTGCCTAAGTATGATCCCCAATCAGAGACAACGATCGACAGCTGCCTCTGATTGGGAACCATACCCGGCCAACAAAGAAATAGAAAAACTAGAATGCCCACCCAAATCACACCCTGACCTAACCAAATAGAGAATAAAAGGGATCTCTAAGGTCAGGGCGTGACATTATGCAAGAATGGGCTGCCATCAGTCAGGATGTGGCCCAGAAGTTAATAGACAGCATGCCAGGGCAGATTGCAGAGGTCTTGAAAAAGAAGGGTCAACACTGCAAATATTGACTCTTTGCATAAACTTAATGTAATTGTCAATAAAAGCCTTTGACACTTATGGAATGCTTGTAATTATACTTCAGTATACCATAGTAACATCTGACAAAAATATCTAAAAACACTGAAGCAGCAAACTTTGTGAAGACCAATACTTGTGTCATTCTCAAAACATTTGACCATGACTGTATATAGTACAGTGGCTTGCGAAAGTATTCACCCCCCCTTGGCATTTTTCCTATTTTGTTGCCTTACAACCTGGAATTCAAATGGATTTTTGGGGGGTTTGTATAATTTGATTTACACAAAATGCCTACCACTTTGAAGATGCATTTTATTTATTTATTGTGACACAAACAAGAAACAAGACAAAAAAAAACTGAAAACTTGAGCGTGCATAACTATTCACCCCCCCAAAGTCAATACTGTGTAGAGCCACCTTTTGCAGCAATTACAGCTGCAAGTAATAATATAATATAATATAATATGCCATTTAGCAGACACTTTTATCCAAAGCGACTTACAGTCATGCGTGCATACATTTTTACGTATATCTCTTGGGGTATGTCTCTATAAGCTTGGCACATCTAGCCATTGGGATTTTGGGCCATTCTTCAAGGCAAAACTGCTCCAGCTCCTTCAAGTTGGATGGGTTCCACTGGTTTACAGCAATCTTTAAGTCATACCACAGATTCTCAATTGGCTTGAGGTCTGGGCTTTGACTAGGCCATTCCAAGACATTTAAATGTTTCCCCTTAAACCACTCGAGTGTTGCTTTAGCAGTATGCTTAGGGTCATTGTCCTGCTGGAAGGGTGAACCTCCGTCCCAGTCTCAAATCTCTGGAAGACAAACGGGTTTCCCTCAATAATTTCCCTGTATTTAGTGCCATCCATCATTCCTTCAATTCTGACCAGTTTCCCAGTCCCTGCCGATTAAAAACATCCCCACAGCATGATGCTGCCACCACCATGCTTCACTGTGGTGTTCTCGGGGTGATGAGAGGTGTTGGGTTTGCGCCAGACATAGCTTTTTCCTTGATGGCCAAAAAGCTCAATTTTAGTCTCATCTGACCAGAGTACCTTCTTCCATATGTTTGGGGAGTCTCCCACATGCCTTTTGGCGAACACCAAACGTGTTTCCTTATTTTTTTCTTTAAGTCATGTTTTTTTTCTGGCCACTTTTCTGTAAAGCCCAGCTCTGTGGAGTGTACAGCTTAAAGTGGTCCTATGGACAGATACTCCAATCTCCGCTGTGGAGCTTTGCAGCTCCTTCAGGGTTATCTTTGGTCTCTTTGTTGCCTCTCTGATTAATGCCCTCCTTGCCTGGTCCGTGAGTTTTGGTGGGCGGCCCTCTCTTGGCAGGTTTGTTGTGGTGTCGTATTCTTTCTATTTTTGAATAATGGATTTAATGGTGCTCCGTGGGGTGTTCAAAGTATCAGATATTTTTTTATAACCCAACCCTGCTCTGTACTTCTCCACAACTTTGTCCCTGACCTGTTTGGAGAACTCCTTGGTCTTCATGGTGCCGCTTGCTTGGTGGTGCCCCTTGCTTAGTGGTGTTGCAGACTCTGGGGCCTTTCAGAACAGGTGTATATTTAAATTTTATCCAGAGCGACTTACAGGAGCAATTAGGGTAAGTGCCTTGCTCAAGGGCACATCGACAGATTTTTCACCTAGTCGGCTCGGGATCATATGACATACTGAGATCATGTGACAGATCATGTGACCCTTAGATTGCACACAGGTGGACTTTATTTAACTAATGATGTGACTTCTGAAGGTAATTGGTTTCACCAGATCTTATTTAGGGGCTTCATAGCAAAGGGGGTGAATACATATGAACGCACCACTTTTCCATTATTTATTTTGTATAATTTCATAAGTTATTTTTTTCATTTCATTTCACCAATTTGGACTATTTGGGGTATGTCCATTACATGAAATCCAAATAAAAATCAATTTAAATTACAGGTTGTAATGCAACAAAATAGGAAAAATGCCAAGGGGGATGAATACTTTAGCAAGGCACTGTATATTGTCCAGTTGGGGTATTTCCTCACCTTTGTCTGTGGGCTGTGAGTTGGCACTGCTGATGTTGAACTGGTAGAGTGAGACGATGTCTTCACCACAAGCAGCAGAGTACAGAGAGCCCCTCTCCACACTGACCACATCCACCAACACTGAGAACTCTGGGAAGGGACACAGCAAGATGGACATATTTTAGGGATAAGAAAAACGTTGTTCTGTTCGCACTTATAATTAATATCATTATCATACAGTATTTTATTATTAACACATTACTATCATATGTAATAGTGATTATAAGCAGTTTATAAGCAGACCACAGTGATGTATTCTGGGTTTGTGTACCTGAGGAGCTGACGTGTGTGGGGATGGGAACGTCAGTGCTGAGGCCCAGGAAGTTACATCGGTATGCTTCCTCATACTGGGTGCTGTAAGGCACAGAGCGGACACAGCCCACCGGGAGCAAGGCCTGATGGGATATATACAAAACCATGTGGTTAGTGATGAGTAGGGCCTAGTTTATCCTGGTCATGACATATGGTCAGTGAAAACTACTGGCCCTCAGTGACGAGGTAAACATGACAGACCTCTACCAGCTACTGTAATATGGCATTTCTACAGTAGTTTGCGCAAGATGGCAATGTCTTGCAACATTTTAGAACTTTATGTTATGGAGGAATATTCTTTATAGGGGGATACGATGAGTCAACTTTTGATTAGCTGACCTTCAGCATGGTGAATGCTGAATGGATGAGCCCTGGGTCCGCCCCTCTCAATATGACCTGATTTCCCATGAGCACGTGCCACGCTAGCTGGCGGAAATCAGTGGTCCCGAGCACCTGTGGACCAGATAACAGATATCATCACTAGGAAACAGACAAGAAATGCACTCACAAAAGAAGAGGAGGATATTGGTTTCCCTCTTCAACCAACTGATCCACATAGTTGTTTCTTTTGAAACCAAGTGGTTAACAGAATTAAGTACGATGTGTGATGTGCTAGAAATTAAAGTGTTCATGATGTGGGAGAAAGAAAATAAAAAGACTATTGAAAGGCACACCAATGTTTACCTGTCTTAAATGTCTCAAGGACCTGAACTTTGGACCAGGATACACCTCCGCTTTCCCCTCGTCAAACAAGAAGTCTCTGTACAGCTCGCACTCCGATTGGTTGGCACTGGGGTCTAGACCCACCCCCTTCTGCTCCTTCCCAGCAACTCATTTCCTCCTCTTGCTCTGAGAAGAAAACAGGACTTTGTTAAAAAGATATCCAAACACCCAATATCGGGACTTATTCCAAGATATATACAGTGGGGGAAAAAAGTATTTAGTCAGCCACCAATTGTGCAAGTTCTCCCACTTAAAAAGATGAGAGAGGCCTGTAATTTTCATCATAGGTACACGTCAACTATGACAGACAAAATGAGAAAAAAAATCCAGAAAATCACATTGTAGGATTTTTTATGAATTTATTTGCAAATTATGGTGGAAAATAAGTATTTGGTCAATAACAAACGTTTCTCAATACTTTGTTATATACCCTTTGTTGGCAATGACACAGGTCAAACGTTTTCTGTAAGTCTTCACAAGGTTTTCACACACTGTTGCTGGTATTTTGGCCCATTCCTCCATGCAGATCTCCTCTAGAGCAGTGATGTTTTGGGGCTGTTGCTGGGCAACACAGACTTTCAACTCCCTCCAAAGATTTTCTATGGGGTTGAGATCTGGAGACTGGCTAGGCCACTCCAGGACCTTGAAATGCTTCTTACGAAGCCACTCCTTCGTTGCCCGGGCGGTGTGTTTGGGATCATTGTCATGCTGAAAGACCCAGCCACGTTTCATCTTCAATGCCCTTGCTGATGGAAGGAGGTTTTCACTCAAAATCTCACGATACATGGCCCCATTCATCTTTCCTTTACACGGATCAGTCGTCCTGGACCCTTTGCAGAAAAACAGCCCCAAAGCATGATGTTTCCACCCCCATGCTTCACAGTAGGTATGGTGTTCTTTGAATGCAACTCAGCATTCTTTGTCCTCCAAACACGACGAGTTGAGTTTTTACCAAAAAGTTATATTTTGGTTTCATCTGACCATATGACATTCTCCCAATCCTCTTCTGGATCATCCAAATGCACTGTAGCAAACTTCAGACGGCCTGGACATGTACTGGCTTAAGCAGGGGGACACGTCTGGCACTGCAGGATTTGAGTCCCTGGCGGCGTAGTGTGTTACTGATGGTAGGCTTTGTTACTTTGGTCCCAGCTCTCTGCAGGTCATTCACTAGGTCCCCCCCGTGTGGTTCTGGGATTTTTGCTCACCGTTCTTGTGATCATTTTGACCCCACGGGGTGAGATCTTGCGTGGAGCCCCAGATCGAGGGAGATTATCAGTGGTCTTGTATGTCTTCCATTTCCTAATAATTGCTCCCACAGTTGATTTCTTCAAACCAAGCTGCTTACCTATTGCAGATTCAGTCTTCCCAGCCTGGTGCAGGTCTACAATTTTGTTTCTGGTGTCCTTTGACAGCTCTTTGGTCTTGGCCATAGTGGAGTTTGGAGTGTGATTGTTTGAGGTTGTGGACAGGTGTCTTTTATACTGATAACAAGTTCAAACAGGTGTCATTAATACAGGTAACGAGTGGAGGACAGAGGAGCCTCTTAAAGAAGAAGTTACAGGTCTGTGAGAGCCAGAAATCTTGCTTGTTTGTAGGTGACCAAATACTTATTTTCCACCATAATTTGCAAATAAATTCATTAAAAATCCTACAATGTGATTTTTTGTCTGTCATAGTTGACGTGTACCTATGATGAAAATTACAGGCCTCTCTCATCTTTTTAAGTGGGAGAACTTGCACAATTGGTGGCTGACTAAATACTTTTTTTCCCCACTGTACACTACCGTTCAAAAGTTTGGCGTCACTTAGGAATTTCCTTGTTTTCCATGAAAACATACATGAAATGAGTTTGAATAGGAAATATAGCAAAATGAATTGGAAATGTAGTCATTGACAAGGTTAAAAATAATGATTTTTAATTGAAATAATAATTGTGTCCTTCAAAACGTTTATTTCGTCAAAGAATCCTCCATTTGCAGCAATTACAGCCTTGCAGACCTTTGGCATTCTAGTTGTCAATTTATTGAGGTAATCTGAAGAGATTTCACCCCATGCTTCCTGAAGCACCTCCCACGAGTTGGATTGGCTTGATGGGCACTTCTTACGTACCATACGGTCAAGCTGCTCCCACAACTGCTTCTTCCCTAAATAGTTATTGCATAGTTTGGAGCTGTGCTTTGGGTCATTGTCCTGTTGTAGGAGGAAATTGGCTCCAATCAAGCGCCGTCCACAGGGTATGGCATGGCGTTGCAAAATGGAGTGATAGCCTTCCTTCTTCAAGATCCCTTTTACCCTGTACAAATCTCCCACTTTACCACCACCAAAGCACCCCCAGACCATCACATTGCCTCCACCATGCTTGACAGATGGCATCAAGCACTCCCCCAGCATTTTTTCTTTTGGTCTGCGTCTCACAAATGTTCTTCTTTGTGATCCGAACACCTCAAACTTCGATTAGTCTGTCCATAACACTTTTTTCCAATCTTCCTCTGTCTTCCTTTGCCCATCTTAATCTTTTCTTTTTATTGGCCAGTCTGAGATATGGCTTTTTCTTTGCAACTTTGCCTAGAATGTCAGCATCCTGGAGTCGCTTCTTCACTGTTGATGTTGAGACTGGTGTTTTGCGGGTACTATTTAATGAAGCTTCCAGTTGAGGACCTGTGAGGCGTCTGTTTCTCAAACTAGACACTAATGTATTTGTCCACTTGCTCAGTTGTGCACCGGGGCCTCCCACCCCTCTTTCTATTCTGGTTAGAGCCAGTTTGCGCTGTTCTTCAGTTTCTTGGCAATTTCTCACATGGAATAGCCTTCATTACTCAGAACAACAATAGATTGATGAGTTTCAGAAGAAGGTTCTTTGTTTCTGCCCATTTTGAGCCTGTAATCAAACCCACAATTTCTGATGCTCCAGATACTCAACTAGTCTCAAGAAGGCCAGTTTTATTGCTTCTTTAAATCAGCACAACAGTTTTCAGTTGTTCTAACATAATTGCAAAAGGGTTTTCTAATGATCAATTAGCCTTTTAAAATGATAAACTTGGATTAGCAAACACAACGTTCCATTGGAACACAGGACTGATGGTTGCTGATAATGGGCCTCTGTACGCCTATGTAGATATTCCATTAAAAAATATCAGCCATTTCCAGCTACAATAGCCATTTACAACATTAACAATGTCTACACTGTATTTCTGATCAATTTGATGTTATTTTAATGGACAAAAAATGTGCTTTTGTTTTCGAAAACAAGGACATTTCTAAGTGACCCCAAACTTTTGAACGGTAGTGTATATATTTTATTATTTCATTTTATTTATTTGAAGTGTAATAGTGACTTGCATATCAGAGCCGAAGGGGGGGGGGGGGGGAGCAATGGAAAAAAAAACTGTGGCCAAAAAACTGTACTGTAGACACGGGCTCCTGTTCCACTGTGACACACTGGGCAAACACATGACTTCTGATGACAACGCTGTCAGGAACACTTTACCCAGAAGGACAAAAATCAGATCACACCCTTTTTATTCACTTCTTTTAACTTGAGCCATATGGGGTAATATGTCCTTCTGACTAGCGTTAAACTGGTCTCCGTGTCTCCCTCCCCTAGAGTTATCCTGTCTGTCTGTCTTTCTATGAGCACCAGCGTGTACCCGTCTATCTTTTTACCATTCGGCCTACCTGTCTGTCTCTCTATGAGCACCAGTATACATGTGTCTGTCTGCCTACCTATGCGTCTATGGGCACCAGTGAGTACCTGTCTGTCTCTCTATGACCACCAGTGTGTACCTATCCGGCTGCCTATGAGCAATTGAGCACCAGTGTGTACCTGTCTGTCTCTCTATGAGAACCAGTGTGTCCTCTGTGGGAGCACCCTCCAGCAGCTTCTCTGTCAGACGACTACCACACGCCTTCAGTAACCTGCAGTAGAGGAGAAAACACAAGAGAGTGTGTCAAACAACTGGGTTAGACACTGCATGACCATGCCTGATGTTGACTGTATGTCTGCTATTGTTTAGATTAGTAACTTTAGTGATCGTTAGCTACAGTTAGCGAGTGTTAGCTATCTCACCAGCTGAAGGAGGAGTGTAGGCTGGCCCAGAGGTTGGTGTGCTGGGTGAGGGAGGGCAGGGAGCGGGCCGCGTTACCACTCCTCTGGTGGGGGAAGACAGCAGGAGAGAACACACTGTTCATCCTCACCGCCCTCTGAGGACACACACACTGCTCACTGTCAAACACCTATAGAGGATAGGGGGAGGGAGGATAAATAAGTGGGAGAGAAGTCAAACATGGCCCCTCTATTCTGGTTGGCAGTAAGTGTTTGTGTGCATGTTTGTTTGTGTTATGTTCTATGTTCACGTTATGTATGGAAGTGAGTTTGGGTATTTGTGACCGTAAGTTTGTTTTAACGTGTGTGTATATAACTGTGTCCCATACATTTAGCATGGTGTGTTAGTGTGTGTGTGTGTCCTTACCTTCAGTGCTGTGTTCTGTAGACTCTGTATAGTGAGTCTGAGGTGGCGCAGCAGGAAGGGCCAGGAGTTGATGAGGTAGATCCTGTCCATGGCTACCATGACAATACTGTACCACCTCTGGAAGCCCCGGGCCAGGCTGTCCTTGATGAAGAAGGTGTGCGAGAACACAAAACCATGCTGCTCATCCCCAAAGAAGATAGGACCCTCACGGCCTGGACACACCTAGAGAGGCAGGGAGGGAGAGAGGAAGGGAGACGGGGGAGAGAAAGAGAAAGGGTGGAGAGAGGCCAAAGTTTATTCATTGTTTTTAATAAAATAAAATACATTTAAAAAAAATATACAGTGGGGAGAACAAGTATTTGATACACTGCCGATTTTGCAGGTTTTCCTACTTACAAAGCATGTAGAGGTCTGTCATTTTATCATAGGTACACTTCAACTGTGAGAGACAGAATCTAAAACAAAAATCCAGAAAATCACATTGTATGATTTTTAAGTAATTAATTTGCATTTTATTGCATGACATAAGTATTTGATCACCTACCAACCAGTAAGAATTCCGGCTCTCACAGACCTGTTAGTTTTTCTTTAAGAAGCCCTCCTGTTCTCCACTCATTAACTGTATTAACTGCACCTGTTTGAACTAGTTACCTGTATAAAAGACACCTGTCCACACACTCAATCAAACAGACTCCAACCTCTCCACAATGGCCAAGACCAGAGAGCTGTGTAAGGACATCAGGGCTAAAATTGTAGACCTGCACAAGGCTGGGATGGGCTACAGGACAATAGGCAAGCAGCTTGGTGAGAAGGCAACAACTGTTGGCGCAATTATTAGAAAATGGAAGAAGTTCAAGATGACGGTCAATCACCCTCGGTCTGGGGCTCCATGCAAGATCTCACCTCGTGGGGCATCAATGATCATGAGGAAGGTGAGGGATCAGCCCAGAACTACACGGCAGGACCTGGTCAATGACCTGAAGAGAGCTGGGACCACAGTCTCAAAGAAAACCATTAGTAACACACTACGCCATCATGGATTAAAATCCTGCAGTGCACGCAAGGTCCCCCTGCTCAAGCCAGCGCATGTCCAGGCCCGTCTGAAGTTTGCCAATGACCATCTGGATGATCCAGAGGAGGAATGGGAGAAGGTCATGTGGTCTGATGAGACAAAAATAGAGCTTTTTGGTCTAAACTCCACTCGCCATGTTTGGAGGAAGAAGAAGGATGAGTACAACCCCAAGAACACCATCCCAACCGTGAAGCATGGAGGTGGAAACATCATTCTTTGGGGATGCTTTTCTGCAAAGGGGACAGGACGACTGCACCGTATTGAGGGGAGGATGGATGGGGCCATGTATCGCGAGATCTTGGCCAACAACCTCCTTCCCTCAGTAAGAGCATTGAAGATGGGTCGTGGCTGGGTCTTCCAGCATGACAACGACCCGAAACACACAGCCAGGGCAACTAAGGAGTGGCTCCGTAAGAAGCATCTCAAGGTCCTGGAGTGGCCTAGCCAGTCTCCAGACCTGAACCCAATAGAAAATCTTTGGAGGGAGCTGAAAGTCCGTATTGCCCAGCGACAGCCCCGAAACCTGAAGGATCTGGACAAGGTCTGTATGGAGGAGTGGGCCAAAATCCCTGCTTCAGTGTGTGCAAACCTGGTCAAGACCTACAGGAAACGTATGATCTCTGTAATTGCAAACAAAGGTTTCTGTACCAAATATTAAGTTCTGCTTTTCTGATGTATCAAATACTTATGTCATGCAATAAAAAGCAAATTAATTACTTAAAAATCATACAATGTGATCTTCTGGATTTCTGTTTTAGATTCCGTCTCTCACAGTTGAAGTGTACCTATGATAAAAATTACAGACCTCTACATGCTTTGTAAGTAGGAAAACCTGCAAAATCGGCAGTGTATCAAATACTTGTTCTCCCCACTGTATATACAGTTGAAGTTGGAAGTTTACATACACTTAGGTTGGAGTCATTAAAACTCGTTTTTCAACCACTCCACAAATTTCTTGTTAACAAACTATAGTTTTGGCAAGTCGGTTAGGACATAATAATAATAATAATAATAATATAATATGCCATTTAGCAGACATCTACTTTGTGCATGACACAAGTAATTCTTCCAACAATTGTTTACAGACAGATTATTTCACTTAATCACAATTCCAGTGGGTCGGAAGTTTACATACACTAAGTTGACTGTGCCTTTAAACAGTTTGGAAAATTCCAGAAAATGATGTCATGGCTTTGATAGGCTAATTGACATCATTTGAGTCAATTGGAGGTGACCTGTGGATGTATTTCAAGGCCTACCTTCAAACACAGTGCCTCTTTACTTGACATCATGGGAAAATCAAAAGAAATCAGCCAGACCTCAGAAAAAAAATGGTAGACCTCCACAAGTCTGGTTCATCCTTGGGAGCAATTTCCAAATGCCTGAAGGTACCACGTTCATCTGTACAAACAATAGTACGCAAGTTTAAACACCATGGGACCACACAGCCGTCATACAGCTCAGGAAGGAGACTTGTTCTGTCTCCTAGAGATGAATGTACTTTGGTGCAAAAAGTGCAACTCAATCCCAGAACATGACCTTGTGAAGATGCTGGAGGAAACCGGTACAAAAGTATCTATATCCACAGTAAAACGAGTCCTATATCAACATAACCTGAAAGGCCGCTCAGCAAGGAAGAAGCCACTGCTCCAAAACCATAAAAAAGCAAGACTATGGTTTGCAACTGCACATGGGGACAAAGATCGTACTTTTTTGAGAAATGTCCTTTGGTCTGATGAAACAAAAATACAACTGTTTGGCCATAATGACCATCGTTATGTTTGGAGGAAAAGGGGGTGGCTTGCAAGCCGAAGAACACCATCCCAACCATGAAGCACATGGGAGGCAGCATCATGCTGTGGGGGTGCTTTGCTGCAGGAGGGACTGGTGCACTTCACAAAATAGATGGCATCATGAGGAAGGAAAATTATGTGGATATATTGAAGCAACATCTCAAGACATCAGTCAGGAAGTTAAAGCTTGGTCGCAAATGTGTCTTCCAAATGGACAATGACCCCAAGCATACTTCCAAAGTTGTGAAAAAATGGCTTAAGGACAACAAAGTCAAGGTATTGGCCATCACAAAGCCCTGACCTCAATCCTATAGAACATTTGTGGGCAGAACTGAAAAAGCATGTGCGAGCAAGGAGGCCTAAAATCTGACTCAGTTACACCAGCTCTGTCAGGAGGAATGGGCCAAAATTCACCCAACTTATTGTGGGAAGCTTGTGGAAGGCTACCCGAAACGTTTGACCCAAGTTAAACAATTTAAAGGCAATGCTACCAAATACTAATGGAGTATGTAAACTTCTGACCCACTGGGAATGTGATGAAAGAAATAAAAGCTGAATAAATAATTCTCTACTATTATTCTGACATTTCACATTCTTAAAATAAAGTGGTGATCCTAACTGACCTAAGACAGATAATTTTTACTAGGATTAAATGTCAGGAATTGTGAAAAACTGAGTTTAAATGTATTAGGCTAAGGTGTATGTAAATGTACGACTTCAACTGTATACATACAGTACCAGTCAAAAGATTGGACACACTTACTCATTCAAGGGTTTTTCTTTATTTTTTACTATTTTCTACATTGTAGAATAATAGTGAAGACATCAAAACTATGAAATAACACATATGGAATCATGTAGCATCCCAAAAAGTGTTAAACAAATCAAAATATATTTTATGCGATTCTTCAATTAGCCACCCTGCAAAGCTGCCATCAAGGCAAATATATTTAGATTTGTTTAACACTTTTTTGGTTACTACATGATTCCATATATGTTATTTCATAGTTTTGATGTCTTCAGTATTATTCTACAATGTAGAAAATAGTAAAAATAAAGAAAAACCCTTGAATGAGTAGGTGTCCAAACTTTTGACGGGTACTGTATATCTACAGTGCATTCGGAAAGTATTCAGACCCCTTGACTTTTTCCACATTTTGTTCCGATACAGCCTTATTCTAAAATTGATTTTTTTTAAACATCCCTCATCAATCTACACACAATACCCCATAATGACAAAGCAAAAACATGTTTTTAGAAATTTCTGCACATTTATTAAAAATTAAAAACGGAAATATCCCCGCTACGTAAGTATTCAGACCCTTTACTCAGTACTTTGTTGAAGCACCTTTGGCAGCAATTATAGCCTCGATTCTTCTTGGGTTTGACGCTACAAGCTTGGCACACCTGTATTTGGAGAGTTTCTCCCATTCTTCTCTGCAGATCCTCTCAAGCTCTGTCAGGTTGGATGGGGAGCGTCACTGCACAGCTATTTTCAGGTCTCTCCAGAGATGTTCGATCGGGTTCAAGTCCGGGCTCTGGCTGGGCAAACTCAAGGACATTCAGAGACATGTCCCGAAGCCACTCCTGCGTTGTCTTGGCTGTGTGCTTAGGGTCGTTGTCCTGTTGGAAGGTGAACCTTTTAGGTATTCTGAGGTCCTGAGTGCTCTGGAGCAGGTTTTCATCAAGGATCTCTCTGTACTTTGAGCCATTCATCTTTCCCTCGATCCTGACTAGTCTCCCTGCCGCTGAAAAACATCCCCACAGCATGATGCTGCCACTACCATGCTTCACCGTAGGGATGGTGCCAGGTTTCCTCCAGACGTGATGCTTGGCATTCAGGCCAGAGAGTTCAATCTTGGTTTCATCAGACCAGAGAATCTTGTTTCTCATAGTCGGAGAGTCCTTTAGGTGCCTTTTGGCAAACTCCAAGCAGGCTGTCATTTGCCTTTTACTGAGGAGTGGCTTCCGTCTGGCCACACTACCATAAAGGCCTGATTGGTGGAGTGCTGCAGGGATGGTTGTCCTTCTGGAAGGTTCTTCCATCTCCACAGAGGAACTCTGAAGCTCTGTCAGAGTGACCATCTGGTTCTTGGTCACCTCCCTGACCAAAGCCCTTCTCCCCCGATTGTTCAGTTTGGCCAGGCGGCCAGCTCTAGGAAGGGTCTTGGTGGTTCGAAACTTCTTCCATTTAAGAATGATGGAGGCCTCTGTCTTCTCCATCTCGTGCTGCAACACTGCCTGGCTGGGGGCTGTGCGCACAGGAAGAGCGGAGTGAAATATTCATTTTTAGAAGCGCTGCGCATAAGCATAAAAGTTGGTCTAATTTCCTTGAAATGAAAGTCTACTGAAGTGAAACTTTGTCCTTGTGTTTCTTGGCTATTTACATTGTTTTGTTCACAAGCTAGGTTGTTTTTCTATGTTTGAGTTTCAACTTTTAGGGAAGCGAAGACAACGCTTCTACTAGTTAGACAATCTCACAGGCACAAACATGACCCGAGTCGAATCACCCTAAAGGGGCAGGTGACATTTTTTGTCTCATCTGTGATATTTTGGTTAAAAGACTCAGGTCACAAAAAATTAAATTAAACAATATACCACATTGCTTCTGACTAACAATACATTCATTGTTTTAGAAAATTACAAAGCATGTCATCCGTTTTTTTGTGTTTTGTTGGTGTAATATTAGCGGGGGAAAAATATTTTCTGAGTGGCCGGTAGATTTTTAAATCTACCGGCCACAGTGGCTGGTGGACCAAAAAGTTAATTTTATCCCGTGTTCGGTTTGGCTTTTCAAGACAATAGTGGCTAACACAATATCTGCTAATTAATTTCCAGCAATATTTCCCCTGTCTTCCTGTGTGGTGAGAACATAATTTGGGAATATACAGTGGGGAAAAAAAGTATTTAGTCAGCCACCAATTGTGCAAGTTCTCCCACTTAAAAAGATGAGAGAGGCCTGTAATTTTCATTATAGGTACACGTCAACTATGACAGACAAAATGAGATTTTTTTTCTCCAGAAAATCACATTGTAGGATTTTTCATGAATTTATTTGCAAATTATGGTGGAAAATAAGTATTTGGTCAATAACAAAAGTTTCTCAATACTTTGTTATATACCCTTTGTTGGCAATGACACACGTCAAACGTTTTCTGTAAGTCTTCACAAGGCTTTCACACACTGTTGCTGGTATTTTGGCCCATTCCTCCATGCAGATCTCCTCTAGAGCAGTGATGTTTTGGGGCTGTCGCTGGGCAACACGGACTTTCAACTCCCTCCAAAGATTTTCTATGAGGTTGAGATCTGGAGACTGGCTAGGCCACTCCAGGACCTTGAAATGCTTCTTACGAAGCCACTCCTTCATTGCCCGGGCGGTGTGTTTGGGATCATTGTCATGCTGAAAGACCCAGCCACGTTTCATCTTCAATGCCCTTGCTGATGGAAGGAGGTTTTCACTCAAAATCTCACGATACATGGCCCCATTCATTCTTTCCTTTACACGGATCAGTCGTCCTGGTCCCTTTGCAGAAAAACAGCCCCAAAGCATGATGTTTCCACCCCATCCTTCACAGTAGGTATGGTGTTCTTTGGATGCAACTCAGCATTCTTTGTCCTCCAAACACGACGAGTTGAGTTTTTACCAAAAAGTTATATTTTGGTTTCATCTGACCATATGACATTCTCCCAATCCTCTTTTGGATCATCCAAATGCACTCTAGCAAACTTCAGACGGGCCTGGACAATTTTGTTTCTGGTGTCCTTTGACAGCTCTTTGGTCTTGGCCATAGTGGAGTTTGGAGTGTGACTGTTTGAGGTTGTGGACAGGTGTCTTTTATACTGATAACAAGTTCAAACAGGTGCCATTAATACAGGTAACGAGTGGAGGGCAGAGGAGCCTCTTAAAGAAGAAGTTACAGGTCTGTGAGAGCCAGAAATCTTGCTTGTTTGTAGGGTACCAAATACTTATTTTCCACCATAATTTGCAAATAAATTCATTAAAAATCCTACAATGTGATTTTCTGGAAAGAAATTTCTCAATTTGTCTGTCATAGTTGACGTATACCTATGATGAAAATTACAGGCCTCATCTTTTTAAGTGGGAGAACTTGCACAATTGGTGGCTGACTAAATACTTTTTTCCCCCACTGTATGCTGTATATAAAATATTTTATAGGGCCCCCCCTTAGAGTTGTTTATTAACCATTATTTTGGCAGGTATATTGACAGAAAATATAGTGCACTACTTTATTTTGTACACTAAGGACCCGGGGAAGAGTTGCAGGGGAGAGAAGAATGTGCCTATTTGAAAGCTTGAAAGAACTTAGTAGCTCGGGACGTTACATAAAAAAAAAATTATAGACTGATAATTTCTTTGTCAGTGGGCAAACGTACAAAAATCAGCAGGGGATCAAATACTTTTTCCCCTCACTGTAGTTCAGCCAGATTAATTTCACTTCAGTTCTTGAATGAATTGGAATGGAATTGCCCACGACCGTGATCCAAACATGGCATTGAAGCTGAACAAAAATATCTAGCAATGAAAAGAAGGTGAATGTCTGCTCCACAATGTTATCTTTATTTAAGATCTGTCTGGTTTCACCCTGCATACCTCCTCGCTTCAGGTAGAAGCCCTTAGGCATAGCTCTGATCTACATTTTACATTTTAGTTATTTAGCAGACGCTCTTATCCAGAGCGACTTACAGTTAGTGAGTGCATACATTTTCATACTGGCCCCCCGTGGGAAACGAACCCACAACCCTGGCGTTGCAAGCGCCATGTTCTACCAACTGAGCTACAGGGGACTACCGGCCTCCCTTAACTAAAGCCTTGTGTATTGACAAACAGTGATGAGTCTTAAAGCAAGAAAAACGGCAACACACGCCCACGCTCATACATACAGTGAGGGAAAAAAGTATTTGATCCCCTGCTGATTTTGTACGTTTGCCCACTGACAAAGAAATGATCAGTCTATCATTTTAATGGTAGGTTTATTTGAACAGTGAGAGACAGAATAACAACAACAAAAAATCCAGAAAAACGCATGTCAAAAATGTTATAAATTGATTTGCATTTTAATGAGGGAAATAAGTATTTGACCCCCTCTCAATCAGAAAGATTTCTGGCTCCCAGGTGTCTTTTATACAGGTAACGAGCTGAGATTAGGAGCACACTCTTAAAGGGATTGCTCCTAATCTCAGTTTGTTACCTTTATAAAATACACCTCTCCACAGAAGCAATCAATCAATCAGATTCCAAACTCTCCACCATGGCCAAGACCAAAGAGCTCTCCAAGGATGTCAGGGACAAGATTGTAGACCTACACAAGGCTGGAATGGGCTACAAGACCATCGCCAAGCAGCTTGGTGAGAAGGTGACAACAGTTGGTGCGATTATTCGCAAATGGAAGAAACACAAAATAACTGTCATTCTCCCTCGGCCTGGGGCTCCATGCAAGATCTCACCTCGTGGAGTTGCAATGATCATGAGAACGGTGAGGAATCAGCCCAGAACTACACGGGAGGATCTTGTCAATGATCAAGGCAGCTGGGACCATAGTCACCAAGAAAACAATTGGTAACACACTACGCCGTGAAGGACTGAAATCCTGCAGCGCCTGCAAGGTCCCCCTGCTCAAGAAAGCACATATACATGCCCGTCTGAAGTTTGCCAATGAACATCTGAATGATTCAGAGGAGAACTGGGTGAAAGTGTTGTGGTCAGATGAGACCAAAATGGAGCTCTTTGGCATCAACTCAACTCGCCGTGTTTGGAGGAGGAGGAATGCTGCCTATGACCCCAAGAACACCATCCCCACCATCAAACATGGAGGTGGAAACATTATGCTTTGGGGGTGTTTTTCTGCTAAGGGGACAGGACAACATCACCGCAACAAAGGGACGATGGACGGGGCCATGTACCGTCAAATCTTGGGTGAGAACCTCCTTCCGTCAGCCAGGGCATTGAAAATGGGTCGTGGATGGGTATTCCAGCATGACAATGACCCAAAACACACGGCCAAGGCAACAAAGGAGTGGCTCAAGAAGAAGCACATTAAGGTCCTGGAGTGGCCTAGCTAGTCTCCAGACCTTAATCCCATAGAAAATCTGTGGAGGGAGCTGAAGGTTCGAGTTGCCAAACGTCAGCCTCGAAACCTTAATGACTTGGAGAAGATCTGCAAAGAGGAGTGGGACAAAATCCCTCCTGAGATGTGTGCAAACCTGGTGGCCAACTACAAGAAACATCTAACCTCTGTGATTGCCAACAAGGGTTTTGCCACCAAGTACTCAGTCATGTTTTGCAGAGGGGTCAAATACTTATTTCCCTCATTAAAATGCTAATCAATTTATAACATTTTTGACATGCGTTTTTCTGGATTTTTTTGTTGTTATTCTGTCTCTCACTGTTCAAATAAACCTACCATTAAAATGATAGACTGATCATTTCTTTGTCAGTGGGCAAACGTACAAAATCAGCAGGGGATCAAATACTTTTTTCCCTCACTGTATACACACACACGAACACACAGGTGGTTACCTCACAGCTGAGGCTGCGTACGCAGGCCTGGCGGACCACACTGAAGAGCTGGGATTGTCTGGGGTGTTGGTGGCTGAGGAACCGGATGCCTGTCTCACTGTCCACACTGACGAAGCCTGGGTGAGACGCTGGGAGAGACCGACAGCCCTGACAAAGAGATGGAGAGAGACAGGGAGGGAGGGAGAGAGAGAGAGAGGGGAACAGAGGGAGAGAAAACGAGAGATGGCCAGAAAGAATAGTTATTAGACAAAACTAATTAGTCAAAGTCATTTCTATTCTGTCCGTTCAGCCCTTCACTCATCTCTCATACAAATATCCCACTCACCTCACACATGTCTCCCCTCTGTGTAGCTGAGCTGTTCGCCCTCATGGTGAGTCCCTCTCCCTCTCTGTCCGACTCCCTGTCCCCGGGTATGGGGGCGCCAGCCTGGGAGGGTGTGGGGGACGGGGGGTGCAGAGCCTCAGTGCAGAACAGGGTCCGGGGGCCATGGAGCTCACAGAAGTGACAGAGCGCTACCAGAGCATTCATCTGAAGGGGGAGAGAACAGGGCCCGCCCTTTAGGCAGGATTAGGCGGCCGCCTACAACGGCAGATTGACGAGGGCAGCATTTTCCAAGATAAACTGACCAAGACGCACCAACAACACATAAAACTTCACATAAATTTGCCCAAAAAGAATGACAATTTATCTCACCCAGTGGCATATGTGCTATTTAGGTGAGTGCCGATGCCGCCCCGTGATAAGTAGTGCCCACTTTGTCAAAAGCATATTTTGCTTGTCCATGCCGAGCGCGTCTCTCCAGGGTGCTGTTGGAGAGATGCACCGTTGCGGCGCTCCACCAACATTCCATCAAAAAATTATCTAACATAAATAATGTAGCCTATAGCCTATGGCAGAAAGAGTATATGGCCTTTTCTGTATAAAACAGGCTGGAGTGGAGATCAAATTTATGACAATGTCACTTTTTACATCATGCACGTTTGTCCAACCAAATAGCGTAACCTAAATGGCACCCAATCAAAAAACAAAGTGCTTCAATGTGAATATGGCATGATAACAAACATCATACCTTAAAAACAAGACAGGTCAAAGTAAAATTGACAATATGGAATGGACAATCAGGCTACTCACAACTGCTGTCTAGTAGGTTTGGGCGGTACACCGTACATACCGTATATACCGTATACCAGGGTATTTGGGAAAAGCCACTGGATGATTTTTCAATACTATCAATACTGTTGAAACTATATCTTAGAAGTTTTTTAATACATTTGAATATTTCTAGCAACTTTTTAAGTAAATACCTGCAGTCAACAATACGTTAGGAGATAAATAACATTGCGTTCTTCATTTCACCTACCACATTATTATTAAGCTTACTGTAGTCTCCAGTCACGTGGTGTTTGTTTACAAGCACACCACGACGAGAGACCGGAGCCTTGTGAGTCACTCACTGTTGTGCAGCATGTGCCAGGTGATCTAATCACAGTGGCTTGCGAAAGTATTCACCCCCCATGGCATTTTTCCTATTTTGTTGCCTTACAACCTGGAATTAAAATTGATTTTTGGGGGGTTTGTATCATTTGATTTACACAACATGCCTACCACTTTGAAGATCCAAATATTTTTTCTTGTGAAACAAGCAAGAAATAAGACGAAAAAACAGAAAACTTGAGCGTGCATAACTATTCACCCCCCCAAAGTCAATACTTTGTAGAGACACCTTTTGCAGCAATTACAGCTGCAAATCTCTTGGGGTATGTCTCTATAAGCTTGGCACATCTAGCCACTGGGATTTTGGCCCATTCTTCAAGGCAAAACTGCTCCAGCTCCTTCAAGTTGGATGGGTTCCGCTGGTGTACAGCAATCTTTAAGTCATACCACAGATTCTCAATTGGATTGAGGTCTGGGCTTTGACTAGGCCATTCCAAGACATTTAAATGTTTCCCCTTAAACCACTCGAGTGTTGCTTTAGCAGTATGCTTAGGGTCATTGTCCTGCTGGAAGGTGAACCTCCGTCCCAGTCTCAAATCTCTGGAAGACTGAAACAGGTTTCCCTCTAGATTTAATGTCCCTGTATTTAGCGCCATCCATCATTCCTTCAATTCTGACCAGTTTCCCCAGTCCCTGCCGATGAAAAACGTCCCAACAGCATGATGCTGCCACCACCATGCTTCACTGTGCGGATGGTGTTCTCGGGGAGATGAGAGGTGTTGGGGTTTCGCCAGACATAGCGTTTTCCTTGATGGCCAAAAGCTCAATTTTAGTCTCATCTGACCAGAGTACCTTCTTCCATATGTTTGGGGAGTCTCCCACATGCCTTTTGGTGAACACCAAACGTGTTTCCTTATTTTTTTCTTTAAGCAATGGCTTTTTTCTGGCCACCCTTCCGTAAAGCCCAGCTCTGTTGAGTGTACGGCTTAAAGTGGTCCTATGGACAGATACTCCAATCTCCGCTGTGGAGCTTTGTAGCTCCTTCAGGGTTATCTTTAGTCTCTTTGTTGCCTCTGATTAATGCACTCCTTCCTTGCCTGGTCCGTGGGTTTTGGTTGGCGGCCCTCTCTTGGCAGGTTTGTTGTGGTGCCATATTCTTTCAATTTTTTAATAATGGATTTAATGGTGCTCCGTGGGATATTTTTTTATAACCCAACCCTGATCTGTACTTCTCCACAACTTTGTCCCTGACCTGTTTGGAGAGCTCCTTGGTCTTCATGGTGCGCTTGCTTGGTGGTGCCCCTTGTTTAGTGGTGTTGCAGACTCTGGGGCCTTTCAGAACAGGTGAATATATACTGAGATCATGTGACACTTAGATTGAACAGAGGTGGACTTTATTTAACTAATTATGTGACTTCTGAAGGTAATTGGGTTGCACCAGATCTTATTTAGAGGCTTCATAGCAAAGGGGGTGAATACATATGCACGCACCACTTTTCCGTTATTTATTTTGTATAATTTTTTGAAACAAGTAATTTTTTTCATTTCACTTCACCAATTTGGACTATTTTGTGTATGTCCATTACATGAAATCCAAATAAAAATCAATTTAAATTACAGGTTGTAATGCAACAAAATAGGAAAAACGCCAAGGGGGATTAATACTTTTGCAAGGCACTATACAGTATGGAATAAACAACTAAATGTTTGCCAGCTAGATATCTTGTAACTATTAAGTTAACTGTCTAAAATGTGCTAAATTCTCTAAAGTTGTGCATTTGGTTTGCTAATTTAGTAGCTAGTTATCTATCTAGCTAAGTGGTTAGCTTCTTCCAAAATCAAGCATTCGCTTGGTAACAGCAGAGACTCCCCTCCTGGATCAAGAGCCTTGCTGGCTAATATTTTGTTGTTGTTGCGTGCAGCAAACTGTGAACAGCATTTCTGAGTTACTTGTATAGTTTAGGTCAGAAACTGCACAACATTTTTCGAAATTAGCTCGTTAGCAAACCTTCCGTTTTCAGTGCATCAGTGGGGTTTGAAAAAAGCACCCCTTGTGTTCAGGTGTTCAGTGGCAGTATTACCGAATTTCCCGGTATGGCACAAGGTTGGTATTTTTTAAAAACATTTTAGTTATTTTGCAGACGCTCTTATCCAGAACGACTTACAGTAGTGAGTGCATACATTTTCGTACTGGTCCCCCGTGGGAATCGAACCCACAACCCTGGCGTTGCAAGTGCCATGCTCTACCAATTGAGCCACACGGGACCATATAAAGTTATGACAATCTGGATACCACCCAAGCCTACTGTCTAGGAGTTTCACCCAGTGGGCTAAATTGTCATGATAATCAGTGGTTTCAAGTTTGTATCCATACATTTTTGACAAGATGATCATAGCGAAAAATTAAATACTTCTGCATTTCCCGCTATGTAAACACGTTGATTCTCATTGCAAATAGGCTCAGGATAACTTCTGATAAAGTTGGGTAGCTGATATTCAGAGCTTAAATGAGCCAAAATGACTAGTCACAGGAATCAGTACTAATAAAGCCAATGCAATTGCCCTTTTTACAAAAGGTAGGCCTACCACATGGTTGGGCATTTTTTAAATGTAATTGGGGCCTAAACTGTAGGCCACACCTCAGTAAGCACGGGCCAATGTCTTTTGGACGTCTTGTTTTTGTATTTTTGCCCAAACATAGACGTCTATAATTGGTTCAGATTTGGTCCGGTACGGACCGGCCTTGACTTGGCCCAAACAGTTTACTGGACCAAATCTGTACCAATCATAGACATCTATGTTTCACAAGTTTGGCCAGTACAATAAAGAAAAGTACAATACAGTAGAGCACAGTACAGGAAAGTAAAGTATAGTTCAGTACAGTACAATAGTACAGCACAGTATAGTACAGTATACTGTATTGTACCCTACTTTACTCTAATGTACTCCACTCAAGACGTCTTTTCACCTTTCATTCATAACCTAAAATAAACCTAACTTCAACGTCTGGAAAAGACGTATGTTAGATGGCTTTTCAACGTCATTTTGTTTACTGGGACAATTCTGCCCTCCTTTCCGCAAATCTAACCACTACTCCATTTTGCTTCTCCCTTCCTATAGCCAGAAACTCAAACAGGAAGTACCCATGCTAAGGACTATTCAACGCTGGTCTGACCAATCGGAATCCACGCTTCAGGATTGTTTTGATCTCGCGGACTGGGATGTGTTCCGGGTAGCTTGCGAAAATAATTTAGACTAAATCACCGATACGGTAACTGAGTATATCAGGAAGTGTATAGGAGATGTCGTACCCACTGTGACTATTAAAACCTACCCTAACCAGAAACCGTGGATAGATGGCAGCATTCGCGCGAAACTGAACGCGCGAACCACTGCATTTAACCATGGCAAGGTGACTAGGAATATGACAGAATACAAACAGTGTAGTTATTCACTCTGCAAGGCAATCAAACAAGCACATAGTCAGTATAGAGACAAAGTGGAGTCGCAATTCAACAGCTTAGACACAAGACGTATGTGGCAGGGTCTACAGACAATCATGGACTACAAAAGGAAAACCAGCTACGTCGCCAAGACTGACGTCTTGCTTCCGGACAAGCTAAACACCTTCTTCGCCCACTTTGAGGATAACACAGTGCCAACGACGTGGCCCGCTACCAAGGACTGTGGGTTCTCCTTCTCCGTGGCCGACGTGAGTAAAACATTTAAACGTGTTAACCATCGCAAGGCTGCCGGCCCAGACGGCATCCCAAGCCGCGTCCTCATAGCATGCACAGACCAGCTGGCTGTTTTGTTTACGGACATATTCAATCTCTCCCTATCCCAGTCTGCTGTCCCCACATGCTTCAAGATGGCCACCATTGTTCCTGTACCCAAGAAAGCAAAGGTAACTGAACTAAACAACTATCGCCCCATAGCACTCACCTCTGTCATCATGAAGTGCTTTGAGAGACTAGTCAAGGATCATATCACCTCTACCTTACCTGCCACCCTAGACCCACTTCAATTTGCTTACCGCCCCAATAGATCCACAGACGATGCAATCGCCATTACTCTGCACTATCCCATCTGGCCAATAGGAATACCTATGTAAGAATGCTGTTTATTGACTATAGCTCAGCATTCAACACCATAGTACCCTCCAAGCTCATCATTAAGCTTGAGGCCCTGGGTCTGAACCCCACCCTGTGCAACTGGGTCCTGGACTTCCTGGCTCCCAGGTGGTGAAGGTAGGAAACAACAACTCCACTTCGCTGATCCTCAACACTGGGGCCCTACAAGGGTGCATGCTCAGCCCACTCCTGTACTCCCTGTTCACCCATGACTGCGTGGCCAAGCACGCCTCCAACTCAATCAAGTTTGCAGACAACACAACAGTAGTAGGCTTGATTACCAACAATGACAAGACAGCCTACAGGGAGGAGGTGAGGGCTCTGGGAGTGTGGTGCCAGGAAAATAACCTCTCACTCAACATAAAAAAAACAAAGGAGATGATTGTGGCCTTCAGGAAACAGCAGGGGGTGCACCCCCCTATCCACATAGACGGGACCGCAGTGGAGAAGGTGGAAAGCTTCAAGTTCCTTGGCGTACACATCACTGACAAACTAAAATGGACCACCCACACAGACAGTGTGGTGAAGAAGGCGCAACAGAGCCTCTTCAACCTCAGGAGGCTAAAGAAATGTGTCTTGGCACCTAAAATCCTCACAAACCTTTACAGATGCACAATTGAGAGCATCCTGTCCGGCTGTATCACCGCCTGGTACGGCAACTGCACCGCCCGCAACCGCAAGGCTCTCCAGAGGGTGGTGCGGGCTGCACAACGCATTACCGGGGGCAAACTACCTGCCCTCCTGGACACCTACAGCACCCAATGTCACAGGAAGGCCAAAAACATCATCTAGGACATCAACCACCCGAGCCACTGCCTGTTCACCCCACTATCATCCAGAAGGTGAGGTCAGTACAGGTGCATCAATGCTGGGACCACGAGACTGAAAAATAGGTTCTATCTCAAGGCCATCAGACTGTTAAACAGCCATCACTAGCACATTAGAGGCTGCTGCCTATAGCCATAGACTAGAAATCACTGTCCACTTTAAGAAATGGAACACTAGCCACTTTTATAATGTTTACATATCTTGCATTACTCATCTCATATGTATATACTGTATTCTAAACTATTCTACTGTATCTTAGTCCATGACGCTCTGACATTGCTCGTCCATATATGTATACATTCTTAATTCATTCCTTACTTAGATTTGTGTGTAGTAGGTATATGTTGTGAAATTGTTAGATATTACTGCACTGTCGGAGCTAGAAGCACAAGCATTTCGCTACACCCGCAATAACATCTGCTAAACACGTGTTTGACCAATAACATCTTATTTTATTAACCTTGCCTACCGCGGCAGAACGGCCAGTACCTCCCGAGTACCTTTCGAGTGGCGCAGCGGTCTAAGGCACTGCATCTCAGTGTTTGAGATGTCACTACAGACCCCCTGGTTCGATTCCAGACTGTATCACAACAGGCCGTGATTGGGAGTCCCATAGGGCGGCGCACAATTGGCCCAGCATCGTCCGGTGTAGGCCGTCATTGTAAATAACAATTTGTTCTTAACTGACTTGTCTAGTTAAATAAAGGTCTTTAAAAAAAAAAAAATACTGGCCTGCGAGAGTTGACTGGTGATCAGAGGTGTGTTATTGTCAATGCTTTGTCTTTAGATTCACAGTGTAAACATTGATGATTGATTACACAGAAAGGTAATACAATTTCATTGCTGGTGAAAGTTTCCTACTTGCAATTTTAAAGGCTACAACCTTTCTAAATGGACACCTATAAGTCAAGCACACTTACCTTGATTAAAGCAGCGTGAACAATCAATGCAACAAATTACAGGCGATCAGATTGCATGAAAACATCACATAAGGACATTGCTGACAAGCTAACCCCTAGCACAGTACCGCCAAATGTCTCGAAAATAGATCATGATCACTTTTCTTAAAAGCATGGAAAATAAGTCGCCAATGCACACGCAAGTTCTAATTTCTAATTAATTCACAAAAGTTGTCTTGTTGCTGTATTCGCCTTTGTTTATACTTTTTCCACTGATCTTTCTTCATACGCTCGCTCTCTTGGTTGGTGGTAGTCGTCATGTGATGAGGGGAGTCACGAGCTTTGGATCCAGGAGGACCGCACAGATGACGCACAATTTTTGGTAAAGTCTCTTCGGTAAGAAATTATAACAAACTATCGTCAATTTATAAACGGCCTAGTATAGAAAATGTTATAGTATCAATTGTTTTGAGGATTTGAATGATTATTTAAACGAATAAACGAAGAGAAGAAAGCCTGTTGTCATCACTGAGGTATAGGGTTCTCATAGACCTACATTTCCCATAAGCCCCCTCAGTACAAACATAGCAAAGGTCAAAGTGCATATTTACGGTAGCTTCAGACAGAATCTGTGACGTATCTGTTTATAAGTCAGAGGGTGTTCATTCAGATAACTAACAACAATAATGTATCATAATGCATATATTATACAGTACTACATTCTCGTTATATTAATGTTCAACATTTGGGAGGCATTGTAACTTATAACTTGTTATCTTGACTCTTGGGTGTGTTGTAGCGACGTACTTCCTCATTAGAGCAGGCTACCTCTCTCCATTCTCCTTAGCTTAGGTAGCAAGCTACTAGCTATTTTAGCACAACTTACTTCTAAATATCTAGCTACTGTATTTCCAAAATCAATATTTGCTAAAGTGATTGATTTATTAACTGGTTGTGCTTGTAATGTTATGTTAACAGTCAGAAACAGAGTTACAACTTTTGTATAATAACCTTTTACACCCACAGGTTGATTGACTATGGCGTCAGAGGAGACAGGTCTGCCTTTGGACTCAGCTGAGAACCTGGAGGACAGGAGAGCACAGGAGCATAGATCTACAGAGGGGCCAAAGACAGAGGTCCCAGCCCGTCACAGCCAAGATGGACCTCAGGTGACAGCAGGTAATGTTTTGTCATTCAGTTGGTTTCAGTGTGCACTGCTGGTACATTTACATTTTAGTCATTTAGCAGACGCTCTTATCCAGAGCGACTTACAGTTATGTACTCGTATGAGATGTAGGCCTAACTAGAACATATATATGCTTCTTTAGAGGCAGAGCAGAAATGACAGCGAAAGAAAATGTTAATGTTTTGATAATTACACAACACTGAAGTTTTTCTAGGTATGATCAAATTATGAAGGACCGTTTTTAATATCGAGGTACCTAGGAAGTTGGGTGTTCACCAATGGAGGCTGGTGGGAGGAGCTATAGGAGGACGGGCTCATTGTAATGGCTTGAATGGAATTATTGGAACGGAGTCAAACGTGGTTTTCATATGTGCAATGTGTTTGATATCGTTCCATTTATTCCATTCCAGCCATTACAATGAGCCCGTCCTCCTATATCTCCTCCCACCAGCCTCCACTGGTGTTCACCCCATCCTCATCTTCCCTAAAGGAAGTCTGGGTTTGCGTAAGTAACGATAATATGTTCCACAGAAATTCCACACTGTGAGTAGATCTTAGGTGCATTCATCAGACAGTGTGATCTCTCTGAGAGCTACTTTTATTATTACGTGTTATTACTTTTCTATTATTTCTCTATTTTCTTTCTCTCTGCGTTGTTGGGAAGGGCCCATAAGTAAGCATTTCACTGTTAGTCTACACCGGTTGTTTACGAAGCATGTGACTAATAACATTTAATTTGATATTTGGGAGAAAGCTGTGATTTTCCCACTTGTTACTCCCCCACTCTCTCAGAAAGCTCCTGGTGGAAGTTGCTCTTAGGCACAGATTTAGGATCAGCTCACTCTTGCTAACTTCTAAGGAAAACATAACTAACCTAGGTCAGTGTCTAGGGGTGAGTTCATCCTACTCCTACTTTTGGGAAAGGAAGAAACCAACCAAACTGTCTGTGTACCCCCTCTAGTGTCATTAGGTTGCGAGCCAAGTCAGTCCAGTCCAAATGTTGTCAGTGCCAAGAACGGATGGAATTACACTTGCAATGTTTTATGCACTATCATACTTCTTATGCGAAACCCCTCCTCTAAGGACAAATTACGTGCCTGACACACCAGTAATACTGTAGATGTGTGTCAGATACTGTTTAACATTCATGTTGGGAAATCAGTGAAAGCTAATACGTTGGTAGAGATTTATGAATGGAAAGGCGATAATGCACGTGTCAAACTCATTCCACGGAGGGCTGAGTGTCTGCAGATTTTCACTTGTTGATGAATTAAGGTCACTGATTAGTAAGGAACTCCCCCTCACCTGGTTGTCTAGGTATTAATTGAAAGGAAAACCAAAAACCAGCAGACACTAGGCCCTGAATGGAATGAGTTTGACACCCCTGACATAATGAGTCCTGGTTGTCCTAATCAGAAGTTGCACAATAGCAGTCTCATTAAAACCTCAACTATGACATCATTCAAGGTGTGGTGGTATGTGATTTAGATTAGATATCACTCCCATCAGTTTTCTGAATATAATTGTATTAAGAATTTTCATTGGTAGTTACATAGTGTTATTGGGCCTATGATTTGAAATGATTCCCCTCACATAGGGAAGAGTAGGAAGCCACAACGTTAGACACGGACACGAATGATCTGCTTGGCGTGTTAACACACTGGTGGTTTGTTGTAACCGAGTATTGGTGCTAAACCGTGTTATTGGAGGCTGGCATGCTAGTTGGCTTTGGCGTCATATGATTCGGTGTACCAAGTTAGCTAGCTGAATGAACTAAGTTAGAGTCTATTTCTAGAAACATTGAACCGCTGTAGTTTACAACAATTATAATTTCTAAAGTGGAAGTTGGGAGAGTTATATTTGAGTGTTTCAGTGAAACGTAAGTGAGGGAGGCCCCGCTCTCTCGCTTTCCCAGATTTTTAGTTCATTTCATTCCGATCTCCTTTGCATTATTGTAGCCTTTCTCTGTAGCCTGTCAACTATGTGTCTGTCTATCCCTGTTCTCTCCTCTCTGCACAGGCCATACAAACGTTTCACACCACGTGGCTGTTGCCACTCTAATCTGGTGGTCCCTGCGTGCACGACCCACGTGGAGTTCCAGGTCTCTGGCAGCCTCTGGAACTGCCCTCCTGCGACCAACAAGGCAGAGTTCATCTCAGCCTATGCTACCCTCCAGTCCCTCGACTTCTTGGCGCTGACGGAAACATGGATTACCACAGAAAACACTGCTACTCCTACTGCTCTTTCCTCCTCTAACCATGTGTTCTCGCATACCCCGAGAGCATCTGGTCAGTGCGGCGGTGGCACAGGATTCCTCATCTCTCCAAAGTGGACATTCTCTCTTTTTCCCCTGACCCATCTGTCTATCTCCTCATTTGAATTCCATGCTGTCACAGTCACTAGCCCATTCAAGCTTAACATCCTTGTCATTTATCGCCCTCCAGGTTCCCTTGGAGAGTTCATCAATGAGCTTGACGCCTTGATGAGTTCCTTTCCTGAGGATGGCTCACCCCTCACAGTTCTGGGTGACTTTAACCTCCCTACGTCTGCCTTTGACTCATTTCTCTCTGCCTCCTTCTTTCCACTCCTTTCCTCTTTTGACCTCACCCTCTCACCGTCCCCCCCTACTCACAAGGCAGGCAATACGCTTGACCTCATCTTTACTAGATGCTGTTCTTCTACTAATCTCACTGCAACTCCCCTCCAAGTCTCGACCACTACTTTGTATCCTTTTCTCTCTCGCTCTCCTCCAACACTACTCACTCTGCCCCTACTCAGATGGTAATGTGCCGTCGCAACCTTCGCTCTCTCTCTCCCGCTACTCTCTCCTCTTCCATCCTATCATCTCTTCCCTCTGCTAAATCCTTCTCCCTCCGATCTCCTGATTCTGCCTCCTCAACTCTCCTCTCCTCCCTTTCTGCATCTTTTGACTCTCTTTGTCCCCTATCCTCCCGGCCGGCTCGGTCCTCCCCTCCTGCTCCGTGGCTTGACGACTCATTGCGAGCTCACAGAAGAGGGCTCTGGGCAGCCGAGCGGAAATGGAAGAAAACTAGACTCCCTGCGGACCTGGCATCTTTTCACTCCCTCCTCTCTACATTCTCTTCCTCTGTTTCCGCTGTTAAAGCCACTTTCTACCACTCTACATTTCAAGCCTCTGCCTCTAACCCTAGGAAGCTCTTTGCCACCTTCTCCTCCCTGCTGAATCCTCCTCCTCCTCCTCCCCCTCCCTCCTCCCTCTCTGTGGATGACTTCATCAACCATTTTGAAAAGAAGGTTGACGACATCCGATCCTCATTTATTAAGTCAAATGACACCGCTGGTCCTGCTCACACTGCCCTACCCTATGCTTTGACTTCTTTCTCCCCTCTCTCTCCAGATGAAATCTTGCGACTTGTGACGGCCGGCCGCCCAACAACCTGCCCGCTTGACCCTATCCCTTCCTCTCTTCTCCAGACCATTTCCGGAGACCTCTCCCTTACCTCACGTCGCTCATCAACTCATCCTTGATCACTGGCCATGTCCCTTCCGTCTTCAAGAGAGCGAGAGTTGCACCCCTCCTCAAAAAACCTACACTCGATCCCTCCGATGTCAACAACTACAGACCAGTATCCCTTCTTTCTTTTCTCTCCAAAACTCTTGAGCGTGCCGTCTCTAGCCAACTCTCTTGCTATCTCTCTCAGAATGATCTTCTTGATCCAAACCAGTCAGGTTTCAAGACTGGTCATTCAACTGAGACTGCTCTTCTCTGTGTCACGGAGGCTCTCCGCACTGCTAAAGCTAACTCACTCTCTTCTGCTCTTATCCTTCTAGACCTATCCGCTGCCTTTGATACTGTGAACCATCAGATCCTCCTCTCTACCCTCTCCGAGTTGGGCATCTCCGGCGCTGCTCACTCTTGGATTGCGTCCTACCTGACAGGTCGCTCCTACCAGGTGGCGTGGCGTGAATCTGTCTCCGCACCACGTGCTCTCACCACTGGTGTCCCCCAGGGCTCAGTTCTAGGCCTTCTCCTATTCTCTCTATACACCAAGTCACTTGGCTCTGTCATATCCTCACATGGTCTCTCCTATCATTGCTACCAGACGACACACAATTAATTTTCTCCTTTCCCCCTTCTGAACCAGGTGGCGAATCGCATCTCTGCATGTCTGGCAGACATATCAGTGTGGATGTCGGATCACCACCTCAAGCTGAACCTCGGCAAGACGGAGCTGCTCTTCCTCCCTGGGAAGGACTGCCCGCTCCATGATCTCGCCATCACGGTTGACAACTCCATTGTGGCCTCCTCCCAGAGTGCAAAGAGCCTTGGCATGACCCTGGACAACACCCTGTCGTTCTCTGCTAACATCAAAGCGGTGACCCGATCCTGCAGGTTCATGCTCTACAACATTCGCAGAGTACGACCCTACCTTACACAGAAAGCGGCACAGGTCCTAATCCAGGCACTTGCCTGTGCCATTTAATGCCTGTGCCATTAAACCCCTACAACTTATCCAGAACGCTGTAGCCCGTCTGGTGTTCGACCTTCCCAGGTTCTCTCATGTCACCCCGCTCCTCCGCACACTCCACTGGCTTCTACTACAAGACCATGGTGCTTGCCTACGGAGCTGTGAGGGGAACGGCACCTCCTTACCTTCAGGCTCTGATCAGACCCTACACCCAAACGAGGGCACTACGTTCATCCACCTCTGGCCTGCTAGCTCCCCTACCTCTACAGAAGAACAGTTCCCGCTCAGCCCAGTCAAAGCTATTTGCTGCTCTGGCACCCCAATGGTGGAACAAGCTCCCCCACGACGCCAGGACAGCGGAGTCACTGACCACCTTCCGGAGACACTTGAAACCCTACCTCTTTAAGGAATACCTGGAATAGTATAAAGCAATCCTTCTACCCCCCCCCCCCCCCCCTCCCCCACCCCCCCATAAAAAAATTAAATAAAAAAAGTGGTTGTCCCACTTGCTATTATAAGTTGAATGCACCAATTTGTAAGTCGCTCTGGATAAGAGCGTCTGCTAAATGATGTAAATGTAAATGTAGGAAGCCACTGAAGGTGTTGAGGTTATCTGAATCATCATACAGCCCCATGCCTGAGGGGAGACTCATGTAGACCACATCCCCCTCCTTCAGCTCTAGAGTCACTGCATTTACCACAAATCTACGATTTCCACCAGGATTGTGTGCATAATTAAACATGATTCTCTTGTCATTCTTGTACATGTAAACACCAATGTATCCTGGGCTAGGGGCATGACTGGCAGTGAATCTGATGTAGTAGACTCCTCTCACTGGTGCTGTGAAGATACCTGCATCAGAGGAAAAAACGGAAACAGGAAGAGTTCAACCCTTTCCATCAGCACTCAGTAACGTTAGCTGGCCCAGAGTGTACTCTCATGTCCATATATGTAGGTAGGTACAGTGAGGGAAAAAAGTATTTGATCCCCTGCTGATTTTGTACGTTTGCCCACTGACAAAGAAATGATCAGTCTATAATTTTAATGGTATGTTTATTTGAACAGTGAGAGACAGAATAACAACAAAAAAATCCAGAAAAACACATGTTATAACTTGATTTGCATTTTAATGAGGGAAATAAGTATTTGACCCCCTCTAAATCAGAAAGATTTCTGGCTCCCAGGTGTCTTTTATACAGGTAACGAGCTGAGATTAGGAGCACACTCTTAAAGGGAGTGCTCCTAATCTCAGTTTGTTACCTGTATAAAAGACACCTGTCCACAGAAGCAATCAATCAATCAGATTCCAAACTCTCCACCATGGCCAAGACCAAAGAGCTCTCCAAGGATGTCAGGGACAAGATTGTAGACCTACACAAGGCTGGAATGGGCTACAAGACCATCGCCAAGCAGCTTGGTGAGAAGGTGACAACAGTTGGTGCGATTATTTGCAAATGGAAGAAACACAAAATAACTGTCAATCTCCCTCGGCCTGGGGCTCCATGCAAGATCTCACCTCGTGGAGTTGCAATGATCATGAGAACGGTGAGGAATCAGCCCAGAACTACACGGGAGGCTCTTGTCAATGATCTCAAGGCAGCTGGGACCATGGTCACCAAGAAAACAATTGGTAACACACTACGCCGTGAAGGACTGAAATCCTGCAGCGCCCGCAAGGTCCCCCTGCTCAAGAAAGCACATATACAGGCCCATCTGAAGTTTGCCAATGAACATCTGAATGATTCAGAGGAGAACTGGGTGAAAGTGTTGTGGTCAGATGAGACCAAAATCGAGCTCTTTGGCATCAACTCAACTCGCCGTGTTTGGAGGAGGAGGAATGCTGCCTATGACCCCAAGAACACCATCCCCACCGTCAAACATGGAGGTGGAAACATTATGCTTTGGGGGTGTTTTTCTGCTAAAGGGACAGGACAACTTCACCGCATCAAAGGGACGATGGACGGCGCCATGTACCGTCAAATCTTGGGTGAGAACCTCCTTCCCTCAGCCAGGGCATTGAAAATGGGTCTTGGATGGGTATTCCAGCATGACAATGTCCCAAAACACACGGCCAAGGCAACAAAGGAGTGGCTCAAGAAGAAGCACATTAAGGTCCTGGAGTGGCCTAGCCAGTCTCCAGACCTTAATCCCATAGAAAATCTGTGGAGGGAGCTGAAGGTTCGAGTTGCCAAACTTCAGGCTCGAAACCTTAATGACTTGGAGAAGATCTGCAAAGAGGAGTGGGACAAAATCCCTCCTGAGATGTGTGCAAACCTGGTGGCCAACTACAAGAAACATCTGACCTCTGTGATTGCCAACAAGGGTTTTGCCACCAAGTACTAAGTAATGTTTTGCAGAGGGGTCAAATACCTATTTCCCTCATTAAAATGCAACTCAATTTATAGAAATTTTGACATGCGTTTTTCTGGATTTTGTTGTTGTTATTCTGTCTCTCACTGTTCAAATAAACCTACCATTAAAATGATAGACTGATCATTTCTTTGTCAGTGGGCAAACGTACAAAATCAGCAGGGGATCAAATACTTTTTTCCCTCACTGTACCTCAAGTAACCCAAAAAGTGTTAAACAAATCAAAATATATTTTATATTTGAGATTCTTCGAAGTAGCTACCCTTTGCCTTGATGACAGCTTTGCACACTCTTGGCATTCTGTCAACCAGCTTCACCTGGAATGCTTTTCCAAAAGTCTTGAAGAAGTTCCACCATATGCTGAGCACGTGTTGGCTGCTTTTCCTTCACTGTGCGGTCCGACTCATCCCAAACCATCTCAGTTTGGTTGAGGTCGGGGGATTGTGGAGGTGTAGTGGAAATTCAAATCAATAATGAGGAGAGACAAGGTCAATCACCAATCAGGATATGACTTTATTCAAAACGAGGCTGGTCGACCCAACACTCTTGACTGTTGGGCTGAGAGCCCTGACACAAAGAATACAAATATATTTTATAGCAAAGATACACTCTCTTAGTCTACATGACAAATAACAGATGAATGGAATGGGTCACAAGGTGAGACTTGATATATGAGAAAGGAGTATCCCCCAGCCAGATAGGATTTGCCATGAAGACTGTTCTTATTGTACAGAAACCAGAGTTTGGCCCCCAAAACAAGGTTCCTCTCATCATTATCCATACCTGAGCCATCTCTCCCTTGTACCTCATTATACACAAACACCAATTGGGTCTATAAACTGCAGGCTCAGTCAGACTGGAGACACCTTCCTCACATGAATGGAATGTGGCTTGTTAGGTTGATCACCTAAGGCATCGTACATCTACTGTCAGTGTTAACAAAGACACATGAGAGTTCTAAGAACCCTATTCTATTGCAGAAAACAACCATTTGATGCAATAACAGTATTAGAACATAATCTTGTAATTTTGCTCTCACAGAGGCCAGGTCATCTGATGCAGCACTCCATCACTCTCCTTCTTGGTAAAATAGCCCTTACACAGCCTGGAGGTGTGTTGGATCATTGTCCTGTTGAAAAACAAATGATAGTCCCACTAAGACCAAACCAGATGGGATGGCGTATCGAATGCTGTGGTAGCCATGCTGGTTAAGTGTGCCTTGAATTCTAAATAAATCACAGACAGTGTCACCACCAAAGCACCCCCACACCATCACACCTCCTCCTCCATGCTTTACGGTGGGAAATACACATGCGGAGATCATCTGTTCACGCACACAGTGTCTCACAAAGACATGGCGGTTGGAACCAAAAATCTCAAATGGTCTAATGTCCATTGCTCATGTTTCTTGGCCCAAGCAAGTCTCTTCTTCTTATTGGTGTCCTTTAGTTGTGGTTTCTTTGCAGCAATTCGACCATGAAGGCCTGATTCACACAGTCCCCTCTGAACAGTTGATGTTGAGATTTGTCTGTGACTTTAACTCTGTGAAGCATTTATTTGGGCTGCAATTTCTGAGTCTGGTAACTCTAATGAACTTATCCTCTGCAGCAGAGGAAACTCTGGGCCTTATTTTCCTGTGGCAGTCCTCATGAGAGCCAGTTTCATCATAGCGCTTGATGGTTTTTGCGACTGCACTTGAAGAAACTTTCAAAGTTCTTGACATTTTTACATTTACATTTTAGTCGTTTAGCAGACGCTCTTATCCAGAGCGACTTACAGTTAGTGAATACATATATATATATATTTTTTTATACTGGCCCCCCGTGGGAAACGAACCCACAACCCTGGCGTTGCAAACGCCATGCTCTATCAACTGAGCTACATCCCTGCCGGCCATTCCCTCCCCTACCCTGGACGACGCTGGGCCAATTGTGCGCCGCCCATGAGTCTCCCGGTCGCGGCCAGCTGCGACAGAGCCTGGATTCGAACCAGGATCTCTTAGACCACTGCGCCACTCAGGCGTGTAACCTTCATGTCTTAAAGTAATGATGGATTGTCGTTTCTCTTTTCTTATTTGAGCTGTTCTTGCCATAATATGGACTTGGTCTTTTACCAAATCTTCTGTATACCCCCCTACCTTGTCACAACACAACTGATTGGCTCAAACGCATTAAGAAGGAAAGAAATTCCACAAATTAACTTTTAAGAAGGCGCACCTGTTAATTGAAATGGATTCCAGGTGACTACCTCATGAAGCTGGTTGAGAGAATGCCAAGAGTGCGCAAATCTGTCATCAAGGCAAAGGGTGGCTATTTGAAGAATCTCAAATATAAAATATATTTTGATTTGTTTAACACTTTTTTGGTTACTACATGATTCCATATGTGTTATTTCATAGTTTTGATGTCTTCACTATTATTCTACAATGTAGAAATTTTTTTAAAATAAAGAAAAATCCTTTGAATGAGTAGGTGTTCTAAAACTTTTGACCCGTAGTGTATGTTATTTCCCATTATATGATATAGTATACGCAGTAATCCTACACCTGTGAAGAAAATGTCAGTGCGGCACATGAACTACATTTGTGTGTTTTCTAACCTGCATTCTCCTTCTTCAGCTCCTCCACCTCTCTCACTGGCACTCAGTCTGGCCTCCTGTGCTAGAGAGACATTTCAGAGCAAATATTAACTCTTCAATGATCTACTGGGGGAAAGAAATAATCCTACCGACTGTAAACAAATGATTCATCTGTCATCATTAAGCTCTTTCAATACTGTACCTGTGTTCTGTTGTGGCAAATTCGTCCTTATATTGATCAAAGAACCAAAGTATTTCCGTAGTTTTTGTAGAATTAAGATAGACTTTATTACAATGGACAAAGCCGAGTGGTCTGCAGAGCATCTCCTTTTCCACTTCCCAGCTCTCAGTTTATATAGTCATTTTACATACATTTTAGCTTAACCCCTCCCTCTTTGGTTCCACCACCACTGTCTCCAGTTTTCACCTCTTGACCGCTCTGCCCACTTCCTTAGTTTTTGATAGTGGCGAAATCTGACTTCTCCTCTATGTATCCAGTTTGGAAACAATGGTGGTGCGACCAATTAAGGCTTGTCATGCAAAATCATGTTCAGTTTGAACTCTGTTCAACCCCGGCTCACCCTGGCTTGACCTGGAGATTGATTGTGGACATGGCAGGTCCACAATCAATCTCTCAAACATACCCAAGCCCACCCCGTCATGCTGTAATTAATCAAGAAGATGGCCAAGGAGAGACAAAGGGTTTAGCCTGAACTCTGTTCAACCCTGGCTTGTTCCAGGGATATGCCTAAGGAGAGCCACAGGGTCACAGTCTGATTTCAGTCACTGATAAGATAAGACAACTGTAGAATTTGACCCGATGACAGGTCAGATGCCCATTTTACACACACACAAACCTAGTGAGAGGAATTAATTAAGGTCTTGCCTAGCAACAGCGATGTACCAATCTAAAAAATCCATATCAATGTAAAAATCCACATCAGTTCTCGCTCTCACTGGCTGTCACTGGCCTGCATGGCTGACAGTTCTGCTGCTTGGCCTGGAATTTGAGAGAACAAAAACGGAGAACATATTTTGAGAGCTGTAGGTCCTTAAACTGTTACCTACATTTTCTCTTTTCAGCTCTTTAATCTTGATTTCAGAGACTGCAATAACATACAGAACAATATTAAGTAACAGAATGCTGTTTTGTTCGTTGTCTGTTCGATTTAAATATTAGCAAATTATTTTTTTTACCTGCATTGGCTCCCTCCAGTTCCTCCACCTTGTTCTTGTGGAAGTGCAGTTCAGTCTAAGTGACACTCCACTCTCTGGTTCACCACCTCTTTCTGCAGCTCGTCCACCTGGCTGTCACTGGCCCCCATGTTCCTCAGCTCCACTCTCTGTTCCACCACCATGTCTCTCAGCTCCTTCAGTTCAGTAAAGACTGTCAGGTTGGCTGGTCTGGCAGGTTGCATGTCTGGGGGTAATTTCTGGGTAATCATGACCCTGTTGAGTGATGTCATTCTCTCTGACCCCTCATCTCTCTCCCTGACCCCATGTCCCAGACAGACAGAACAGCAACACCAGCAGAGCTACAGCACCCCTCATTATGAATGTCTCTTCAGAACTAATGTAGTCTACTGGGCTCAGTCCCCGTCTTTATATACACACTAGTCTTGGTGGACCAATACATGGGAATTTAACATTTGTTCTCAATGGAAAATCTAAAACTAGGTAAATCCAAGGACACTGTGATAACACTGGGAAGGACAAACTACCATCCACATATTATATAAGGCCTCAAGAGAATAAGAATCAGTATATTTCAGCTCATTATTTGTATTGTTTTGTAACTGACTTTGGATGAAACAGTCTGCAAAATAACTGTCCCCCCCCCTCTCTCTCTGATGTACTAGGCCAGGAGGAGGGAGCAGGTGTCTGTCAGTTCTTCTTGTTGGGAAAGTGTCGTTTTGGAAACAGGTGTCGTCGATCTCACAGGTCTGTAGCTAACACGCTCACCACCGACCTGTAACAACATAATGTTATATACCAGGAATTATGACAGGGCAATGGCTAAGTAACATTGCATTTCGACTTTTGATGGTGCCATGATGACATTGTTACTGTGATGTCTAAACATTTCTTTAACATTCATGTAATGGTTAAAAAAACATGAATTAAATTGTCTGATGTATAATGTTTGTGCAGCCCTAGAACAGCTGAAAATGCCCAGGGGTTAGGGGCTAATATTTTACTCAATATTCAGTATATTTCAGACTTCTAACCACTTGAACAACAAAATAAGACAGAAGAAATCTTCAAAGCATATAGCTGCCAGCCCTAAACAGATGGCCCTCAGAATCTGAGTCCTCCCTCTCATCACTAAGCCTTCTGCCTGGTGACAGTGGAATCTTCAGAAGAAGATGTTGTTTTCCCTCTTGTGAGAATCAGCATCTGTGGTGTTGGCTGATGCCCTCACAGCAGACAGAGCCTCTGAACCAAGTGGTAATCAATTATGTAGCACAATAGAAATAGGATAGATAGGTAGTTAATTCCATAGCATGGGTAAGTGAAGAGGTAGAATAGTAAAGAATAGCAGAGTTAAATGAATGCATCTGTTTAGACATCTAGATAAACCTCTTAAAATACATCCATCTAAGGGGTCACTGTCCTATCAGTATGAGGTAGACCTAACAGGTTAGCTCTTACATTGACCATAGTGATGAATAAAATCCCTCTTTCTCCTTCCCTCTTTCTCAGCACTCCAACATTAGACGACCCAGAGGCTGTTATAGACCAGGAAAACAGGAAGGAGGATGGAGAAAAGGAGGGAAAACTCAAGAAGAAAGCAAAAGGCAGTAAAACAAACCAGCCAAAAGACACAGAGGGAAAAGGTACAATTTCCCTCCATTAAATCTAACTGAACATATGAGAACCCACTAAAATACCTGTTTACTGCAAACTAAGTATAACTAGCTGACAAACGTGTTTCTCTCTCCCCTCAGAATCAACCAAGAAGCCCCGCATGCGCACAGCCGATGACGTCATCTCGCGGATCCTGTGGGACCCGTCGGTGGAGGCGGCAGACTTCGTGGTGGGGTACGTGGACCGCTTCCTTGGGGTGCTGGAGCGCCCCTTCTCTGAGTTCAACTGGGATGCCGACCCCTGCGACTGTGACTACTCCTCTGAGCTAGCCCTGCCCAGACACAGGATCCAGTACTTCACCCATAGAGGGCGTAGAGTCTGGGACCGCAACAACAGAACTGACACGGGTGTTTGGATCCACTGGACAGTGTCTGGCGCCCCCCTTTGGGCAGGAGGAGGAGCAAGAGCAGGGTAAGAGAGGGCGAGGGAGGGTGGAAGGGAGAGAGGTGAGGGAGGGTAGGGAGTGAGGGAGGGTGGGAGGGAGTGAGGGGGAGGGTGGAGAGAGGGTGAGAGGGGAGGGAGGGAAGGAGAGAGAGAGAGGGTGAGGGGGGGGGAGGAGGTGGGGGGAGGGAGGAGGTGAGAGGGTATGAGGGGGGGGAGGGGGGGGGGGAAGGGAGGGTTGGGGAGGGGGGTTTGATGGGAGGAGGGGTTCGAAAGATGTAGAGGAAAGGTAGGTATCAGGAGAGGAGGAGGGAAGGTAGGAAGGGAGAGAGAGAGGGCGAGGGATTTACACAGCTCTAGAACCTGGATTAACATACTGTTCTATTTCACTTTGTTAGTCTATAACATGTTTTTGTCATAATGTTTGGTTACCCTTCAAAATCTGCTTGTTTATTGGCAGGAACAGGGACACAAGATGTTAAACAACAAGACTCAAGAGAAGAACAAGATGGCGTCATCACTACAGAGGAGGGAGAAGAGCGTGAAGAGTACCTGATAAAACAGGATGTTGAAAACGGACACTTGGAGGAAAGAAATCAGAGCAAGACAAGTGTTCAGATGCCTGAGTCGATCAGACCAGGCACAGGAAGTACTCCACTGAACCAACAGGAAGTAGGAAGAGAATCAGAACCCTCGGAAGAGGAGGTTAGGAAGGATTCCGTTTTAGTCGTCATAGCAGACCAGATCTCTCTATCCCAGAGAGAAAGAGAGAGCAGGGGGGAGGAAGGTGAGGAGGAAAAATGGAAAGATTACTGGGATGCAGAGAAAGGCCCAGACCTAGCCCAGTGTCCGTCTGTGCCTCTGGAGCAGAGAACAGAGAAGGGTGGAGGCCGGCCTTCCAAACGTAAGCCCACCCACTTCATCACCTTCCGGGCCAACACTCCCTCCATCCTCTCCTCCTTCCAGCGCCTTCAGGAGGAGCTCACCTCCCTCCTCCCCTCATCCGCCCCTCACTGGTTACCCCCCTCCTCCCTTCATGTCACCCTCTGTCTCCTGGTCCTCCCCGGCCCAGCCGAGGTCACCGCCGCTGGGGAGATGCTCCAACGCTTCGCTTACCTGGACCGCAACCCCCCCGTGGCCGTCTCTTTCCCCCTGAAACTGAAGCACTTTGGTGGGAAGGTTCTCTACCTGAGCCCCCAGCCTCAGCCTCACCTCCAGCAGCTGAACGCTGGCCTACAGGAGGCCTTCAGAGAGCAGGGCTGGCTGCACAGGGACTCCTTCACACCACGCTACCACCTCACCCTGGCCAAGGTGAAGGACAGGGAGGGAGCGAGGGTGTTTGAGGGGGTGGGGGAGCTGAAGGTGGGTAAGGGGGTGAATTTTGGGCGACTGCCTATAAATAGGCTGCACCTGTGTAGCATGGGGATGACTGGGGATGGGTTTTATGAGACACTGTGTTTGGTCAATCTCCGGTAAAATGGAGGTGTGTGTTTGTTTAGGTATGGAGGTGCTCTTTTACAGAGCTACATTTGCACAGAAGAACCCACATTTCCACACCTCACAGTCTCCATGGTTTCACATTTAAAGGTGCAATATGCAGAAATCGCTCCACCATTTCCTGGTTGCTAAAATTCAAATAGTTTGCCTAATTTCAGTTTATGTGACAAAACAAGTAATCATTGCTTGTTTTGTGTAGAGAATCATTGTACCATCTAAACCGCTGTGAGATATATTTTCAATAACCAAAAATATTGTTTGAAGCTGGTGGACAAAACCGAAAGTAAAAGGCAACATTGAAACTTAAGAACGGGAAGCATAGAAATAGCACACAGAACAGATCTACCGCTTCTTAGACTTGCTTTCAATGACCATGACAGATCTATAAATAATATTTCTATGTGAATTTGTTTGGGTCGGCCTAAAAGTTGCATATTGCAGCTTCATTGATTAAAAATGAAATCCCAATGTTCCTGAAGTGCCACTATCTGCTATGGACCATGATGAAGCAGCAGTAATTGTAATTACTAATTTACTGTACCATTTCTATAGCTTTCACAGGGAGGGACACCCACGTTACATTTAATTTTGCATACTTTAATACTGATGTAGTAATGCCATTTATTTAATATAATAATGACTGAAATATTATCTTTCCATCAGGGGAACTGGATCTCAACCAATCAATTCTTGCTTTGCAGCTGCAGATATGATTTTATAATTGTAATAATGTAATATTAATATTTTAATATAATCCACTGATCGGTGCAACATTGATAATGTAAAATATCTGCTTTTGCAAAGAATTATGACTTTTGGATTGCCAAGGACATTAAATATTGAACTGGTTATTTTTGTGAATGTCTGAGTGGTGATATTTCTGTGTAACAGCAGAGGGATGGAGGGAGGATGGAGAGAGAGAGGGATGGGGAGAGGAGAGGGAGAGAGAGAGAGGGGGGATTGGAGAGAGAGGGGGGGGGTTTAGAGAGAGAGGGATGGGGAGAGGGAGAGAGAGAGGGGGGATGGAGGATGGAGAGGATGGAGGAGAGCGAGAGGGGGATGGAGAGAGAGAGGGGGGGAGGAGGAGAGAGGGGGATGGAGAGAGGGAGAGAGGGATGGGGAGAGGAGAGAGAGGAGGGGGGGATGGATAAGGAGAGGGATGGAGAGAGGAGAGGGAGAGGAGAGAGGAGTAGTGCTCGATCGTTCTCTCGTCTTGGGTTCGCCCGTATGGGAGATCGGAGGCTGTGCTGGCTGAGAGGTCTGGGAGCGGTTGGAGCAGAGCTCGAGCGGGTGGTTCCTGGCGGAGGAGACTGGTTCGGGGTCGAGTGGATGGTAGCTTTCGGTCGTGCTCGGCGGGGGTCTCGTGTATCGCGATCTGTGGGGCTGGCCTAGTCTGGGGGTGTGGTGGGCCCTCGTGGTTAGCTTGCTCGCGTCTGGCGTTTCTCGGCATCTAACGGGCGGTTCGGTGGGTCTGAGAGGGTGGGCGGGGATGGTCAGAGAGGATGAGAGGAGAGAGGATGGGCTGCTACAGTATAGTGCTGGGTCTGAATGAGAGCCAATGAGGCACGGTTAACTCTCTCTGAGTAACTCTTGCATACATAATACCATTTTCTGTCTCTCTCCCCCCTTTTCCTCCTAGATGCACGCACACTATACATATGAGTCAGTGAGTGTGTTCTCTCTCTCACTCACTCCCGTACGCTCCCTTGCTCGCATTATCTCTCTGACTCCCTTCCCCCACTCCCTTTCAGTGACACAGAAAAACTAACCCCACCCCTCCCTCTCGCTCTCTCGCTCTCCCCCATCCTCAAATGGCACACAAACACGCTGGTCTCTCACTCTCCCACTCTCACTTTGTTTTTATTGTTTATTTGTAATCCCCCTATTTTTCGGTCAAATCACCCACGGTCATGGAAGACCATCTATCATCTTCCCATCTCTCTCATTCTCTCCATCTCTGCTTTTGTTGGTTGTTGTTGAATCATGGCGTTGCTACTATTTTGCAGTCTCCACTCAAAACTGGTTTTGCCTACAAATCCATTGCATGTCGCTTCTCCCCTCTCCCTCTGTTCATCGCTCACCCTCCCTCCATCCCTCCCTTTTTCTCTCACGCTCACTCATTGCCCAGTTGACAACCCATCTTTTTTCCTATTCACAATATCTTTGTTGCTTTCTCTCCCTCCCTCCCTCCCCCCCCCTCCCCTCCCCTCCCCTCCCCCTCCCCTCCCCTCCCCTCCCCCCTCCTCCCTTCGCTCTTGCCCTCAGTATCCATCTAAGTGGTGTGCTTATTTGCTTCTGTCTAAATATATGTGCATCTCTACCTCTCCCTCTCTCCTCCTCTCTGCACAACACAGCAAAACACTGCCCTGCCTAACCAGACAGGAGATTTCTTCAATAAATATTTTGTGGATTTTGCTTTTTTTGTCCAGAAATCTGAAATATAACTCAAACTCGAATCATTGGACCTTTTCTCATTTTGCATTTAGACAATCTTATATTTTTTTGTGATGATTTGTTGATTTTTGTCCGATTTTTGCCTAATCTGAGAGTGTAGAGATTGGTATGTTGTGTGTATGACTGAGTGTTGATGGTGGTTTCAGTTAGAGCTGTGTCTGTGTCGCCCAGCAGCATCATCATGTGTGTGAGCTGAGAGGGGACGGAACCCTAATCCCCGTTAACAGATTAATTATCGCTGGGCACAATCGTGTCGCTGCCTTGTTGTGAAGTCGCCTGGCTGAGCGATCTGCTGCCTGCATGGGGTTCCGACACAACGATAAGGGTCCCTCTGGGGTGTCTTCTCAATCCTAATCCCCTCTCTCTCTCTCTCTCTTTCTCACTCTCACTCACTCACTCACTCACTCACTGAGGGCTCCTCTCTTATCCATCAACACAAGCACCTCTCCACTGTGACCAGACAACCAAACAATCACAGGCTGTTTAATATTTCAAAACCAAAAACAGACCTTGTCATTTTTTCCCTTTTATCATATATTTGGGGTTCATGTCCCGAAGCCTATATTTTCCAGAATTCGTTTTTTTCAAGAGGATCCAGCGCTGATGGTTGCCAACGGTATACCTCAGTGAGCGTGTAGATATTTGACGGAACCCCAGAGAAGAGTAGGAGATAACAGAGCACTCTCCCAACGCTACAGTCAAAGGTAAGAAACGGATCACTCTCCAATCACTCATTCACCATGTGTTAATTGTCTCTGTATTCTACAAGATTAATGGGCAGTCAAGTGAAATAGATTCATCATGCACTGTTAGACCATTGCAGTTTATGTTCAATGATGGAAAGTGGAGAGAAGCCTGGGTTTTACATCAAAGGTTGTTTGGATTTTTACGCAATGTGTGTGCATTGACTGATGTTGAAATTAGGAAATGATTTATAAAACATTGAGGTTGAACGATGTTAGTTTGACAAAAAAATTCAAAACAGAGTGAATCAATCTCGACTTTATCATAGTTGATAAGAGAGTTTATTTATATTAATAAAATATCACATTTTATGTCACTGAATAGTTTGCTTGGCTTATCTTCAGCAAGCCTCTCTCAAATGCTACATTTCACATTGTGCAAGATTCTCAATGAGCTTGTTCGTGAGGGAGCATTTGTCTATCCTCTTGGTACCGTATGTTGTCCTCTTGTACACTCCAAAGCTCCATGTTGGATTTATTGACTCTACAGCACTGAGTACCCTGCAGCCGAATGCACTCAATCTCTCATTGATTTGGGGAAGTGTGTGTGTGTGTATGGTTTGGTTGAACTATCCTTGTATCCAAAAATCGGACAAGTGTGTACATTTTGCTGGTCCCCACAAGAAAAAATGAAAATTTAGGCTTAGGGGTTAGGGTTACAATTAGGGTTAGGGTTAGAATAAGGGTTAGTTTTGGGGTTAAGGTTAGGGTTAAGGTTAGGTTAAGGGTTAGGAAAAATAGGATTTTGAATGGAAATCAATTGTTTGTTACCCACAAGGATAGTTAAAAACGTGTGTACGTGATCCTGGTGGGAAATTGTTTGCACAAACATGAATTTCAACTGAAACTTGAATATCAGTTTTATATGAAACAATTAAACCTCTAGTAGAGTCTGTTTTTGTGGTTCTGAAAAGGATGTGTATTTATAGATACAGTACTCCTCACACAGACACACTGAATGCGCTGTTCATGTCCCCACTGACTGATGATAACTGGGCTATGGTGTGCATCATCACAGGGTCAGATAGCTGTCTCAAACTGCAGTCATTAAGAGTGTCATTAAGTGATCTTTAAGGGGACCATTGGGCCTTAACGTGTGGCATGATGATTTCTGTTGCATGTCATTATTCATACCCAGTGACCCAGATCAAAGCTGTTGTTTGTGATGTGTAGTAATGAGAATGTGTGGTTCAATACATGATAAAGGAGAAGGTGGCTTTACTGTCAAAGAGGATTTTCTTCCCAGCTGCACATGTTCAGTCTTCCTCATTAACCGCCTTACAAAATGGCCTCGTAGAGAAACACATTCTGGAGTCTCACTCAATACAAATACCTGACTTACTGTTTCAAAACAGAGACATTCCCAGGGCTGATTCAGTCAGCTTGGTTCAGTGCAGTGACAGATAGTTGACGTCTATTCTACTGTATTCTATCCATTTCCCCTCAGCTTTGTTGTTCCTGAGAGTCTCTTGTTGGTTTTGAAGCAGCTAGTGCACAGCACAGAAGGCTATGTTTTGGGTTCTCTACTTCCATCTCCCTCTCCTCTCCCCTTCTCTCCTTGCTCCCTCTATCATGTGAGCGCAAACTCCCAGTTATTTGCCTTCAGTTATGCAATGGTAACCAGCATGATAACAAGCTGGCAGGAAGCATCACGTCAACTTGAGCCTGCCTCCCTGCCTCCCTCTGACAACTGCTGTTGAGCCACTGCTCAGCTCAGGCTGCTCCCTCCAAGGTGCTCCCTCCCTGGTGCCCCATGAATCACTTCCTGGGTGCGTGTTAGCACTAGTTCCCATTGTTGGCACTACATCTGGTTGTAGATAGATAGATGGATAGACATATTTATGATAATTGCTGAACATTGTTAATGTAGACTTTTCCATGTAACATGGGAAAAAAATAAGTAAAATGTAACATGAATTGAATTTCAATTCACACTTCCACACTATAGTCTAACCACACTATAACATTCCTATAATTGACCTAATGTGGCAGTATCCTCTACCAACCTCACAGCCTAATAATTCAAAACTATAACATGAAACTCCTGTCTGTTGATTTACCATCTGAGTCTGGCCATAACAATGTAAGACTACAACAACAACATCAATCTGTTGACAGCCTCAGTGTGAGGAGATGGACGGCAGTGTGAGAAACCATTCTGCTCCCCGCTGGTTTCATAAGTGAAATGGAGTGTTGGCATTGGTTTTGTTAGTAACAGTTGGGGGTTTGGAGCCATTAAGGCAAACAGTCTTATTCTAATGAACTTGGGATTGACTGTCTGGGATGTCTGTTTAACCCTCTCTGGGCCAGGGATGCTGCAAATCCACATGCATGCACACCACACACACACATCCCAAACAATGACCCCAACACCTGGACTGTGTCCATGGAGACGTCATTGATTTTAAATGACTGCTACAGTAAAAAGACTGGATTGATATTTATAAAATAGATCAGATATGGTCATATCTGATTATTTATCGTGTCTAGTGCCTCTTCAAATGTAGAGTTGTGTGCTCATACAGATGGATCATTAAAAAGGCTGAGAATTAATGTGAGACAATATTGAATGTTCTGCAACATTCAAAGACAGCAAAACCAAGATAGGAGCCTGGTGCAGAATCCAAATCTAAGAATCCCTCCCTGTTAGACGCTATCAAATACAGTATTGTATCTTGACTCAACGTCCGTCTGTCTGTCTCCCTGTATGTAGAGCAGTACTGTACAACCCCCCGTCTCTACTCCTCAGTACAACTCCTGTCAATGATCTAGTCTGTGCTGATCTCTTCTTCCTAGGCTCTCTTGAAACCCTCTTGTCTTCAACTGTAAAACCCTGATATTCTCTTAATCTGCACAATCAGTGTCGTGGCCCCCTTACCCTCCCCCTCTTCCCCTCTACATAGCTCTGTGATTGTAATGTAGATTGCGGTGTCTGTTTGGGATAACCGGATTTCCCTTTGTATTTACCCTACTTTCTCCCCCTTGGCTGGGCTTTAGGAAAGGAGGGGAAGCAGTGTCTCTCAGCAGGGTGTGGTGGTGGAGTTTGGCTACGAAGACTGTCCTATTCTCCCTTGTTTTCACCCCTCTCTCCTTCCCTTTGGAGGGTGGTTGTGTGAAGGCTGCTACAGTGCATCATTGTTGTCGACATACTATCTGTCATAGTATCTTCTCATTTCCAGGATGGTTGAGGGGTGGTGTGTTGATAGTTGGTCTGATGGCGGTTGAATATCCCTCTTGTATTGACCCAACTCTGCCTCCATTATATAGTGCTGGTTGTGTGGTGTGGCTGAGATTGACACTGGGCCTCCCCATATCTCCCCTACTCTGCTCCCGTAGGTGAAGGTAGGTGAAGGTCCTCTGTAGCTCAGCTGGTAGAGCACGGCGCTTGTAACGCTAAGGTAGTGGGTTCGATCCCCGGGACCACCCATACACAAAAAAAATTTTTATGCACGCATGACTGTAAGTCACTTTGGATAAAAGCGTCTGCTAAATGGCATATTATATTATTATTATATTATATTATATATTATATTATATGATGAATTAGGTTGTTAGTAGAGATGACATTTAATTTTTTTTACATTTTAGTAATTTAGCAGACGCTCTTATCCAGAGCGACTTACAGTTAGTGAGTGCATACATTTTTCATACATAATGACAGGGGAGTTAGTTTAGTTGATGTCCCCTGGATAAGAGAGGAATCACACTCATCCAATCCAGGTGTGGGCAGGTCCCATTTCTATTCAGTTACAGTGAGGGAAAAAAGTATTTGATCCCCTGCTGATTTTGTACGTTTGCCCACTGACAAAGAAATGATCAGTCTATAATTTTAATGGTATGTTTATTTGAACAGTGAGAGACAGAATAACAACAAAAAAATCCAGAAAAACACATGTTATAAATTGATTTGCATTTTAATGAGGGAAATAAGTATTTGACCCCTCTGCAAAACATGACTTAGTACTTGGTGGCAAAACCCTTGTTGGCAATCACAGAGGTCAGACGTTTCTTGTAGTTGGCCACCAGGTTTACACACATCTCAGGAGGGATTTTGTCCCACTCCTCTTTGCAGATCTTCTCCAAGTCATTAAGGTTTTGAGGCTGACGTTTGGCAACACGAACCTTCAGCTCCCTCCACAGATTTTCTATGGGATTAAGGTCTGGAGACTGGCTAGGCCACTCCAGGACCTTAATGTGCTTCTTCTTGAGCCACTCCTTTGTTGCCTTGGCCGTGTGTTTTGGGTCATTGTCATGCTGGAATACCCACCCATTTTCAATGCCCTGGCTGAGGGAAGGAGGTTCTCACCCAAGATTTCGTCCCTTTGATGCGGTGAAGTTGTCCTGTCCCCTTAGCAGAAAAACACCCCTAAAGCATAATGTTTCCACCTCCATGTTCGACGGTGGGGATGGTGTTCTTGGGGTCATAGGCAGCATTCCTCCTCCTCCAAACACGGCGAGTTGAGTTGATGCCAAAGAGCTCGATTTTGGTCTCATCTGACCACAACAATTTCACCCAGTTCTCCTCTGAATCATTCAGATGTTCATTGGCAAACTTCAGACCGGCCTGTATATGTGCTTTCTTGAGCAGGGGGACCTTGCAGGCACTGCAGGATTTCAGTCCTTCACGGCGTAGTGTGTTACCAATTGTTTTATTGGTGACTATGGTCCCAGCTGCCTTGAGATCATTGACAAGATCCCCCCGTGTAGTTCTGGGCTGATTCCTCACCGTTCTCATGATCATTGCAACTCCACGAGGTGAGATCTTGCATGGAGCCCCAGGCCAAGGGAGATTGACAGTTATTTTGTGTTTCTTCCATTTGCGAATAATCGCACCAACTGTTGTCACCTTCTCACCAAGCTGCTTGGCGATGTTCTTGTAGCCCATTCCAGCCTTGTGTAGGTCTACAATCTTGTCCCTGACATCCTTGGAGAGCTCTTTGGTCTTGGCCATGGTGGAGAGTTTGGAATCTGATTGATTGATTGCTTCTTTGGACAGGTGTCTTTTATACAGGTAACAAACTGAGATTAGGAGCACTCCCTTTAAGAGTGTGCTCCTAATCTCAGCTTGTTACCTGTATAAAAGACACCTGGGAGCCAGAAATCTTTCTGATTGAGAGAGGGTCAAATACTTATTTCCCTCATTAAAATGCAAATCAATTAATAACATTTTTGACATGCGTTTTTCTGGATTTTTTTGTTGTTATTCTGTCTCTCACTGTTCAAATAAATCTACCATTAAAATTATAGACTGATAATTTCTTTGTCAGTGGGCAAACGTACAAAATCAGCAGGGGATCAAATACTTTTTTCCCTCACTGTAGTTCAGCCAGATGAATTTCACTTCAGTTCTTGAATGAATTGGAATGGAATTGCCCACGACCGTGATCCAAACATGGCATTGAAGCTGAGCAAAAATATCTAGCAATGAAAAGAAGGTGAATGTCTGCTCTTGCTCTTGCTCTTTGGTTTCTGCTCCACAATGTTATCTTTATTTAAGATCTGTCTGGTTTCACCCTGCATACCTCCTCGCTCCAGGTAGAAGCCATTAGGCATAGCTCTGATCTACATTTTACATTTTAGTCATTTAGCAGACGCTCTTATCCAGAGCGACTTACAGTTAGTGAGTGCATACATTCAACGAACCCACAACCCTGGCGTTGCAAGCGCCATGCTCTACCAACTGAACTACAGGGGACTAGGATTAGATTACCTTGACTTTCACAATTCTTTACCTTAAGCATGAGGAGAAGACCATGTAAACCTCACCAGAGCAGAGTCTAGGACAGGGGTGTCAAACTCATTCCGCGGAGGGCCTAGTGTCTGCAGGTTTTGTTTTTTTCCTTTCAATTAAGCCCTAGACAACCACCTTAATTAATCAATCAAGTACAAGGGAGGAGTGAAAACCCGCAGACACTCGGACCTCCGTGGAATGACTTTGACATGTTGTCTAGGAGAAGACGATGTAAACCTCACCTTAGATCAGTTTAGGAGAAGACGATGTAAACCTCACCTTAGATCAGTCTAGGAGAAGACGATGTAAACCTCACCTTAGATCAGAGTCTAGGAGAAGACAATGTAAACCTCACCTTAGATCAGTCTAGGAGAAGACGATGTAAACCTCACCTTAGATCAGAGTCTAGGAGAAGACGATGTAAACCTCACCTTAGATCAGAGTCTAGGAGAAGACAATTTAAACATCACCTTAGATCAGAGTCTAGAGGCAACTTCACATTGTCCTGACCCACCTACAGTACACTGATTGATGCAATAGGAAGTTTCAGTGAACATGAGCATGGCTGACAACGGTTCAACCACAGACTGGAGGAGGGGGTGGTTGGTGAGCTGATGTCCCCTAGTTCCCTCCCTCCCTCCCTCCCTCCCTCCCTTGGCAGGGTTGCTCTGAACCGTCTCAACTTTCTTCCCTGGCTCTACCACAGTGTGTAAGAAAGGGTGTTAGACAGACAACATTTCAGTTGCAATAGCCATCACCCGGCATCACATACTGCATAAGGCTTTGTTTACTCATAGTATTTTTCATTGGTCCAGCACTGGTGTGGAGATTTGGAATATGTGTATCACTCACACACCTTTGATTTTTCTAACCCTTCTCTCCTCTTACTTCCTTCCAACAGGGTGGAGGAGGGGGGGTTAGGCGATAGAGTATGGCTGCCATGGCGACCGTGCCCAGCTACATCCCTTCGCTATGGGTGAGGATGTGCCACGCCCTCCCCCGGCTGGACCTCACCATGACGATGAGAGACAACCTCTTCATCCCCGACAGCTGGGAGTACCAACAGGTAACAGAAAACGCCAACAGCGAATCACATCCCATCACAAACTACAACTGGCCAATCACACAGCACAACTGATTGATTCATATTTATCTTAAGTAATCTCTTGGTTCAAACAACAAGATCGACAATAAAAGACAGCTAAGATTCAATGAAAAATATGTATTGCACTTGGTAAGAATGACAACCAAATCTGATACCGCAATGATACAGCCCCCCCATGTTAAATACTGCACCATAAAGAGCCCTCTCTGTTTGCGCAGCGGTATCTGCAGAATCCTAGTGGTATTATTAGAGCATTTAAACAGCTTATTCATGCTAGTGGTGCAAGTGGCCTAGTTATTGACAGGGAAACAAGCCCAGACCGCTCAGAAGAATCTTGACCTGGATCTCAACTCATCAGAAATATTACACCATCTGGCTGTCTCTCCTCAAAGCTGTTAGCACTTAATTACACTGTTCTGTTCTCATCTCCACCACAGTTCAGTTTACACCCCTCAGCTCCACTTAATTACACTGTTCTGTTCTCATCTCCACCACAGTTCAGTTTACACCCCTCAGCTCCACTTAATTACACTGTTCTGTTCTCATCTCCACCACAGTTCAGTTTACACCCCTCAGCTCCACTTAATTACACTGTTCTGTTCTCATCTCCACCACAGTTCAGTTTACACCCCTCAGCTCCACTTAATTACACTGTTCTGTTCTCATCTCCACCACAGTTCAGTTTACACCCCTCAGCTCCACTTAATTACACTGTTCTGTTCTCATCTCCACCACAGTTCAGTTTACACCCCTCAGCTCCACTTAATTACACTGTTCTGTTCTCATCTCCACCACAGTTCAGTTTACATCCCTCAGCTCCACTTAATTACACTGTTCTGTTCTCATCTCCACCACAGTTCAGTTTACACCCCTCAGCTCCACTTAATTACACTGTTCTGTTCTCATCTCCACCACAGTTCAGATAACATCCCTCAGCTCCACTTAATTACACTGTTCTGTTCTCATCTCCACCACAGTTCAGATAACATCCCTCAGCTCCACTTAATTACACTGTTCTGTTCTCATCTCCACCACAGTTCAGATAACATCCCTCAGCTCCACTTAATTACACTGTTCTGTTCTCATCTCCACCACAGTTCAGTTTACACCCCTCAGCTCCACTACAGACTCCATCTTATTTCACGTTCATTCTCATCATCGTCATGCAATTATAAAAGTTACACAGTACGGTTTTGCATTTGAGTAGGATTTGGTTTTAGTGGATCTTAATCTGGAGACAATGTAGAAGTAGAAGAATATTGTCTTTGTGGTAGAAAACACACCATTTTGTTGTGTTGTTCATTTCTAGGTTTCACCATTCCCTTCCAGTGGGCTTGGTGACATGTAAACCCTAATCCCTACGTCACACACATTCAATGTTTACAACATGTCTACAGTACCGAGAGAGGGATTCTCAAATGATCCGCCAGTAGAGAAAGACAAAATAAATGGAAAGCGCTTGGAGAGAGAAAAAGAGAGTGAAGAGGGAGAGTAAGGTGAGGAGGTAGTGAGGAACAGAAGACGTGGCAGAAAGAGAGGGAGAGAGAAAGGGAGAGGGAGAGATGGCAGTGAATGTATTTAAATAGGTCACTGATTATTAATAGACATGCAGTGGTCTAGAGAGAGAGAGAGGGAGAGAGGGAGGGAGGGAGGGAGGGGAGAGAGAAAGCGGGCGAGGGAGAAGTGGGGAACATGGATTGGTAGGGGGTTATAGAGAGCAGGAGGCAGCTGAGAGGAATAAGAGATAAGGTGGAGGAGAGGAAAATGAGGGAGGGAGGGAGGGAGACGGGCAGATGGAGAGGGATAATGCTGTAGATATGTGTTCTGGCTAAATGCACTCTCCAGTAAAGTTGAGTATGATAGACGTTAGTATGTCAGAGTGCAGGCTGATGATGAGCTGCAGGAGAGATGTGATAAGGCTTAGTAACGGTACTGTTAATGTTCACTACAGCTTGCAGCAGAGGTAGTAGTGTGGAGATGCAAGGCAGCTTTTAACCCTTACTAATGTTCACTATGTCTGTTAAACAGTCAGGAATTATATTATTACATTCAATTACTGGTTAATGTTTGTAGTATATATGCTCTTCTGTATGGAGCCATACAGATTTGTGTGTGTGTGTGTGTGGCGTGTGTGTGTGTGTGTGTGTGTGTGTGTGTGTGTGTGTGTGCGGTGTGAAAAAAGCCTCCAGCTTTTTAGTTGATGTCCCCTGGATAACTTTATACACTTTATGTTCTAATCACCTTTCACTTCCACTGCTTGGGTAGGTAGGACTCACGGTGGAATTATAGGACCTAAGAATATTGTGGTACTTTGTTGTGGTACTTTGTAGCTCAGTTAGTAGAGCATGGCGCTTGTAACGTCAGGGTAGTGGGTTTGATTCCCGGGACCACCCATACGTAAAATGTATGCTTTGGATAAAAGTGTCTGCTAAATGACATATACAGTATATTAATATTGCGATTTTCATTATCACAATATCGACCTGTGCTATTTTGCATAAATACACTGTAGGGATTATTGCAGAATATTGAGGTTTGCATGATGAAGGCTGGGAATTCAAAGATGTCTTCATGACTAACATGTGCACCTCCCAGCTGCTCTGAATCCCTGATGTTATCCATATCACAGTATATTGAGACATTGACCCAACCCTTGCTGCTACAGTCTGTTCTCAATATTTCACTCTCAAATGGTGTGGAGGAGGCTCATTGGAATGTCACTCCTTCTATTAGTAAGACAGTGGTGCGTGATGTATCTGTGAAATACAGTTCTATTCCGTCGGGCAAAAATATGTTGAACCAACATTTTATCAATGTCGTCTGTCAACAATTTTAGGTTGAAAACACTTTTTTGGGGGTGGAAAAACGAAGAAAAAAACGTATACAAATTCTAACCAGATTTCAACTATAAATCAACAACAGAATTTCAAGGGTTGATTTATTTCAAATATAATTCACATTTGTTGACAACGCAATTAAGTATCAACCAAATATAGACATTGATTTTACGTTATTTCAGGTTTTTGCCCAGAGCGATAATGTTACTTAGCAATGCAATTTCCATTATGCAATCAAGTACAATGACAGTGTTACCATAAGCATCAGTCTGTAAAGTGCTGTGTTTTATTTGATTTACTGACCCTCCTCTAACCCCCCCCTCTCTCTCTCTCTCTCTCTCTCAGACTCTACTGGTCCTCTCTAGTCTCTCGGCCATTGCTCTCATTCTCTCCCTCCTTGTCATTATCTCCTTCCTTATACACTACTGCTGCTGTCGCCGTGGTGACCGGAGTGAGGGATCTGAGGAAGAGGAGGATGAGGAAGAGGGCAGCACGGGCCACGGATACGGAGGCAGGAAGGGCCGGGGTATCTGCTGCGTCACCTGGGTGTCGGTGGCGGCTGTCACACTGTGCTGGTGAGGTGGAGAGGTTATTGTGACGTCACTGCCAGGGTCATTGTGATGTTATTATGAGGGTCATTGTGACCTCTTTATGCGGGTCATTGGGATGTTGTGATGTCGTGAGGGTCATTGTGATGTCCTGGTGTCTTTGTGACATCAATATCATTGTGAGTGTTGTATTCATGAAGTGTGGTCAAATCATATGACCAAACCATGTGACCATTTGTCACAAGGAAAGAGGAAATGGAATCCTTTCTATAATACAGAATTACCACCTTCTAACTTATATTATTTCCCAATGGTCCAATAACCATGTGTGTCTTGATGTAAGTGATTTTCAGAGCACTGTAGAAAAGCACTGTCGCTTCTTTACGATGTGTTAGTATTTTGCTCCTGGCAATATCTGACACAGACAGTTGACCTAGCTGACCGTGGTCAAGTTGTGATTTGACCACAGGGACCAGGCCACTGAGGTTAGGGGTTTGGGCTTGTGACAGGATGTTTGCGGTTTAGAAATTGAATCGTGGTTTCCTATCAATGTGACGATGATGTCAGAAGTCCCACCTCGGCGTATTGAATCCTCTCTCCTCTGTTCTCGCTCTCTCTGGTGACCATGCTGTCATCCACTGTCAGGAGGGCATTTAGTCACATTGTGACGGGATGTTTATTTTGAGTTTGCATGAGAAGCATGAGGAGATTGCAGCAAGTATTCAGATCTTACCCTATGAGGTTTGGAGTACTGCTGGTTTTCTGTTCTACCTGATTATTAATTGCACCCACCTGGTGTCCCAGGTCTTAATCAGTCCCTGATTAGAGGAGAAGAATGAAGAAAAAAGCAGTGGAACTGGGTTAGAGGTTCAGATTAGAAGTCAGATTGGGTTATCGTATACAAAACCTACAGTTAAACACCTTCAGCTCTGACACTGTATGATGTTTAATGTCCTCTCCCATCTCAGCAGCATAGCGTTGTCATATGTCACATGTTATCGGATTGCATTGTCAGCCTCAGTTGATGTCACTGCTTTATCAAACAGCACAGTGTGCTCCAGATCTGATTTCTGCTTCAGTGATGTCATCATTATGCAGACGTTTGTGTTATGGTGGTCCTGTTCCCCCCCGCGGGCCGTGATGATGTCATCTCTCTCTCTCTCTCTCTCTGATACATGACCTTCTTGTTGTTTGGATGGAAAAAGGGGAGACATTGCAATTTCTGCTTTTGGTAGTAGACATCTTAGTTTTAGAAATGCATTGTGGGAAAATGTCAAATGACACCCTATTCTTCATGTAGTGCATCAGAGCACATATATCAAATCAAATTTTATTTGCCACATGCGCCGAATACAACAGGTGTAGACATTACAGTGAAATGCTTACTTATAAGCCCTTAACCAACAATGTAGTTTTTAAGAAAAAAATTTAAATAGCAAATAATTAAAGTGCAGCAGTAAAATAAAATAACAGTAGGGAGGTTATATACAGGGGGTACCGGTACACACGTGATGCTGTCATAGAAAAACATACATGTTTGACTGTATGAAACACCCCCCTCTTTCCCCCCCGCTTTCTAATCTGGGTCACATACTTTGTGGGAGATTGGGTCATACCATTGCTCTCGGGTGCGATGGGATTTGGTGAACATCTGGCCTAAGCCTTAATCTGAATATTTGAATAACAGAGATATATATGTGATTATTTTTGACGTTTCTAATACCACGCTGACTGAAGACTAAAATGCTGAAACTGCTAAGACTCTTCAAAGCTATCTTGTATTTTGTAGTTTTCCTTCAGTCGTTTGTTCATCCATTTCTCACGTTTCACATCACTCTCACCAGTTCTATCTTGTAGTGTCAAATTAATTTAATATGTACATACAGTTCAAACTGAATTAAACATGAATCTCTCTCCCTCCCTCTCTCCCTCAATCCCTGTTCCCCTTTTCGCAGTGTCGCCATAGGCGTTGGTTTCTACGGCAACAGTGAGGCTAATGATGGGATATATCAGTTGACTTCGTCTCTTCTCACAGCCAATTACACACTAGCTTCCATCGATCTGCTGGTGAGTGCTACAGCTCCTCCCTCCCAGCAAATTTCAGACATGCACAATATCTACCCTGCACTGTGTGTGTGTGTGTGTGTGTGTGTGTGTGTGTGTGTGTGTGTGTGTGTGTGTGTGTGTGTGTGTGTGTGTGTGTGTGTGTGTGTGTGTGTGTGTGTGTGTGAGAGAGAGAGAGAGAGAGGTAGATAGATTGGCAGAGAGGGAGAGAAAGTGGGGTGTAAACTTGTGTCAGGCATGATATGGATCTGTCTGTCCTCATGCGGTCACTCAGTGGTTTATATGTCTGGGTGATGGATGCCCTCTTTCCTCTGTACACGATGGAGGGAGGAATCCTACACTCATTCACAGGCTGGATGGAAGTATGGAACTTCTCTCTTACATGCTTTTAACCCCCCTAAATGACAAAGAAAAACAATCTCCACCCACCCCATGTTGTTGATTATACAACTACAAACTCTCTATGATTACATGACCATAAGATTGATTGTATGACTCATAACCTCCACCTCTCTGTCCTGCCCACCCCTCCCTCTCCGCCTCCCCAGGTTTCAGACACCATCTCTGGGCTGCAGCTGTCTATCGCTGGGCCCCTGACCACCATGGAGGAGCTGTTTACAGGCAGTAAGCCCTACTTGGTGTCCACCCGGAACTGTAGGAGACTGTCAGAGAACGTGGTGTCCCTGCTCACCTCTCTGACCATGGCCCGCTCCTCTGACGGGGGTGCCTGGAACAGCAGCAACAGCAGCAGTGATCCCCCCATAGCGGCCCTCACCCCTGTGCCACCCTCCATGGCCCCCACAGTGGCACCAGCCGGAGGGGTCATGCCCAGCCCCTTCTCCCCTGGCTGGGCAGCCAACACACTGATGGTCAACGAAGACTACAGGTGAGGGAAGGGAGTGGGAGTGTCTTCTTCAATGTTTCAAATTGGTTGTTAAGAACACACACAGCGTGCGCCAGTATATCACTCCCTTGTGGTTTGCTGAAAGATTGAGTTTTGCGTTCAAAGCACCATAGAAATGTATTTGGAAGTTTATTCCCTGCATTGTGTGGTTCTCTGTTATCTCCTGTGCTGTAGGTGGCTGTCCTACGTGCTGCTGTTGCTGCTGGACCTCCTAGTGTGTCCTGTTCATCCTTCTGGGCCTAGCCAAACAGGCCCGCTGGCTCCTCATCCTGTAAGCGCACACACACACACACACACACACACACACACACACACACAGAGAGAGACAGACACACACACACACACACACACAGAGAGACAGACAGACACACACACACACACACACACACAGAGACAGACACACACACACACACACACACACAGAGAGACAGACAGACACACACAGAGAGAGACAGACACACACACACAGAGACAGACAGACAGACACACAGAGAGAGACAGACAGACACACACACACAGAGAGACAGACACACACACACACACACACACACACACACACACACAGACCGACAGACAGTTAAACCCTGTGTGGTGTATTGTATCGAACAACACTGAGCTTTGAAATGCTCTGTGACTCTGTGTCATGTGGGCTGTATAATATCTGATGGTTCCTAGGAGGTGTGTTTGGTGCTTAGCTGACCCCTGTGTGTGTGGTGTTTCCCCTCCCAGGATGACGGTGCTGGCCTGGCTGGCTTTGTTCCTGAGCTGGGGCTCCCTGGGCCTGGAGACTGCCACTGTGGTGGTGAGTACTGACAGATAAAGATAGGAGAGGAGGAGGGGTGGTGTGTGTTGTTGAGGGGAAGGGAGGGAGTTGACTGTTCATGGCTGGCTAGAGAGTATCTAAGGAATGCCTTAAAGAAGTCCTGGCCAGAGCAGAACAGAATGACTGTGTGTTTCTGTCTGTGTGTATGTGTTTCTGTATTGCTTTCTGTGTGTCTCTGTGCCCATTGTGCTAAACTGTGAAAAGACTGGCCTCCTAGGGAACACTGCAGTCATGGCACCAAGGGACCAAGAAGGAGGGAGAATGGGGCAGAAATGAGTGTGTATGTGTATTTTCTGTGAGTTTGTGAGCAGAGAGAGAGTGTGTGTGGGGGGGTGCTTATGTAAGTTGTGCATGTAAGCGCTTGTGTGTGGGCGTATGGCTTGGAGGGAGGGAGGGAGGGAGGGAGGGAGAGAGAGAGAGAGAGGGAGAGAGAGAGAGAGAGAACTTCTCCAAAGACTCACCGGAACCCAGAGAGAGGGGGTTGGAGAAAGTGTTTGTTTAGGGCAGTGTCTTAGTGGGACAGTAAAAGCACCATTCGATTCTACGCTATGACAGAATCTTGGCCATTCCATTGATTGATGCCTACCACAACACTGCTGTGTTCTACAAACAACAACACATCATTACAGTCACAGCAACATATTATTATGGCATTTGGAGGGAATAGAGAACATAGAGATCTTTATTCAATATTGCTGTGATAAAGAACTGGCAGCAAGATGAGAATATAGAACTGTTGATGACATTTGCTTAGAACTGGCAGGGAGTGTTCTTTCTTGCAACTGTCCCATTCCAAATCCATGCCTTGGAAGTTTGTCAGGAGAGAAGGGCATTGGGAGGGGAGACATTTGTGTGTGTGCCCCTGTGTCTGTGAAAGAAGGTTGAAAGTCTAAAAAACGACAGTGTTGCTGGCTGGGACTGGAGGGAGAGTTAAGAGTTGTGCGTCTGTTTCAAGCAGACCAGTGTCATGTGGAGCTGGCTGGAGATGTCAGAGCCCATCCAGCAGTCCACACAGAGCCCTTCTGTCCCTGGCCACTGAGAGGGAAACAATGACCCAGCTGTGGGTCTATACTGCCCTGGACCGACTCTCTCTCTGTGTGGGTCTGGGTCTCTCACTCCCTCTCCTGGCCAGCCTGCCCCTTGCTCTGTGTCTGTGTGCCTCGAGCTCTTTTCACATTATTTAAATTTAAGTCATTTAGCAGACACTCTTATCCTGGCAGGAGAGGTGAAAAAGGAAGGGATCGATGTAAATGGAAAGAGCGAGAGAGAGAGGATGATAGTGATAGAGAAAGGGAGGAAACAGTTGAGAGAGGAGAAAAGCAGGATGAGAGAGGTAGATGGGAAAGAGTGAGATGGAAAGAGAAATGCAGAGTAGGTCTACACAGTATGGAGAGGGACAGTAGGTCTATACAGTATGGAGAGGGACAGTAGGTCTATACAGTATGGAGAGAGACAGTAGGTCTACACAGTATGGAGAGGGACAGGTCTACACATTATGGAGAGGGACAGTAGGTCTACACAGTATGGAGAGAGACAGTAGGTCTACACAGTATGGAGAGGGACAGGTCTACACAGTATGGAGAGGGACAGGTCTACACAGTATGGAGAGGGACAGTAGGTCTACACAGTATGGAGAGAGACAGTAGGTCTACACAGTATGGAGAGGGACAGTAGGTCTACACAGCATGGAGAGGGACAGTAGGTCTACACAGTATGGAGAGGAACAGTAGATCAACATAGTATGGAGAGGGACAGGTCTACACAGTATGGAGAGGGACAGTAGGTCTACACAGCATGGAGAGGGACAGTAGGTCTATACCGCATGGAGAGGGACAGTAGGTCTATACAGTATGGAGAGGGACAGTAGGTCTATACAGTATGGAGAGGGACAGTAGGTCTACACAGCATGGAGAGGGACAGTAGGTCTACACAGTATGGAGAGGGACAGTAGATCAACATAGTATGGAGAGGGACAGTAGGTCTATACCGCATGGAGATGGACAGTAGGTCTATACAGTATGGAGAGGGACAGTAGGTCTATACAGTATGGAGAGGGACAGTAGGTCTACACAGTATGGAGAGGGACAGTAGGTCTATACAGTATGGAGAGGGACAGTAGGTCTATACAGCGTGGAGAGGGACAGTATATCTACACAGCATGGAGAGAGACAGTAGGTCTACACAGTATGGAGAGGGACAGGTCTACACAGTTATGGAGAGGGACAGTAGGTCTGATATACAGTATGGAGAGGGACAGTAGCGTCTATTACAGTATGGAGAGGGACAGTAGGTATATACAGTTATGGAGAGGGACAGTAGGTCTAGACAGCTGGAGAAGGGACAGTAATCTACACAGCATTGGAGAGAAGGAGAGAGACAGTAGGTCTAACAGTATGGAGAAGGACAGTAAGGTCTACCACAGTATGGAGAGGGACAGTAGGTCTATTACAGCTGGAGAGGGACGTAGGTCTATACAGTATGGAGAGGGACAAAGGTCTACACAGTTATGGAAGGAGACAGTAGTTTCTACACAGTTATGGAGAGGGACAGGTCTACAAACAGTCTGGAGAGGGAACAGTAGGTCTACACAGTTGGAAGGAGAAAGAGAAAACAGAGGTTCTACACAGTATGGAGAGAGAACAGTAGGTCTACCAGTATGGAGAGAGACAGTAGGTCTATACAGCATGGAGAGGGACAGTATATCTACACAGCATGGAGAGAGACAGTAGGTCTACACAGTATGGAGAGGGACAGGTCTACACAGTATGGAGAGGGACAGTAGGTCTATACAGTATGGAGAGGGACAGTAGGTCTATACAGTATGGAGAGGGACAGTAGATCTATACAGTATGGAGAGGGACAGTAGGTCTATACAGCGTGGAGAGGGACAGTATATCTACACAGCATGGAGAGAGACAGTAGGTCTACACAGTATGGAGAGGGACAGGTCTACACAGTATGGAGAGGGACAGTAGGTCTATACAGTAGTGGAGAGGGACAGTAGGTCTATACAGTATGGAGAGGGACAGTAGATCTATACAGTATGGAGAGGGACAGTAGGTCTATACAGCGTGGAGAGGGACAGTATATCTACACAGCATGGAGAGGGACAGTAGGTCTATACAGTATGGAGAGGGACAGTAGGTCTATACAGCGTGGAGTGGGACAGTATATCTACACAGCATGGAGAGGGACAGTAGGTCTATACAGCGTAGAGATGGACAGTAGGTCTATACAGCGTAGAGAGGCACAGTAGGTCTATACAGTGTGGAGAGGCACAGTAGGTCTATACAGTGTGGAGAGGGACAGTAGGTCTATACAGCGTGGAGAGGGACAGTAGGTCTATACAGCGTGGAGAGGGACAGTAGGTCTATACAGCATGGAGAGGGACAGTAGGTCTATACAGTATGGAGAGGGACAGTAGGTCTATACAGCGTGGAGAGGGACAGTATATCTACACAGCATGGAGAGAGACGTAGGTGCTACACAGTATGGAGAGGGGACAGGTCTACACAGTATGGAGAGGGACAGTAGGTCTATACAGTGTGGAGAGGGACAGTAGGTCTATACAGTATGGAGAGGGACAGTAGATCTATACAGTATGGAGAGGGACAGTAGGTCTATTCAGCGTGGAGAGGGACAGTATTATACACAGCATGGACGAGGGACAGTAGTCATACAAGTTATGGAGAGGGACAGTAGTTATAACCAGCGTGGAGAGGGACAGTATATCTACACAGGCATGGAGAGAGGGACAGTAGGTATACACAGTATTGGAGAGGGACAGGTCTACCAGTTATGGAGGAGGGGAAGAGGGACAGTAGGTATGTACCAGGTGGGAGGAGGGACAGTAGTCTATACTATTGGAGAGGGGGACAAGTAGATCTATACAGTATGCGGAGAGGGGACAGTAGGTCTATACAAGCAAGGAGAGGGACAGTTATATCTACACAGCATGGAGAAGAGACAGTAGGTCTAACAGGTATGGAGAAGACAGTAAGGTCTACACAGTATGGGAGAGGGACAGTAGCGTCGAGACAGTATGAGAGGGACAGTAGGTTATTACAGTCTGGAGGAAGAGAGACAAGTAGGTCTACACAGTTATGGAGAGGGGAAGGTCTACACAGTATGGAGAGGGACCAGGTTACAACCAGTATGGAGAAGAGGGGACAGTAGTCTATACAGTATGGAGGAGGGACAGTAGGTAGTATACAGTGGGGAGAAGGGACAGTTAGGTCTATACAGTATGGCGAGGGACAGTAGCGTCTAACAGCGTGGAGAGGGACAGTATATCTACACAGCATGGAGAGGGGCCAGTAGGTCTATACAGCGTGGAGAGGCGACAGTAGGTCTATACAGCGTGGGAGAGGTGAAAGTAGGTCTATACAACGTGGGTGAGAGGGACAGTGGGTCTTTACAGTATGGAGAGGGACAGAGGTCGTTTACAGTAGGGAGAGGGACAGTAGGTCTATACAGAGTGGAAGAGGGACAGTACTACACAGCATGGTGAGAGAAGAAAGTAGGTCTACACCGTATGGAGATGGACAGGTCTCCACAGTATGGAGAGGGACAGTAGGTTCTATACAGTATGGAGGGAAAAGGGGGACAGTAGGTCTATACAGTATGGAGAGGGACAGGTCTTACACAGTATGGAGAGGGGGACAGAGGGCTATACAGTGTGGAGAGGGACAGTAGGTCTATACGTGTGGAGAGGGACAGTAGGTCTATACAGTCTGGAGAGGGAAGTTAGGTTATTACACAGCGTGGAGTGAGAGAGGGACAGTATTATCTACACAGCATGGAGAGGGACAGTAGTCTTATTACCAGCGTGGAGAGGGGAACAGGTAGGTCTATACAGCGTGGAGAGGGACAGTAGGTCTATACAGCGTGGAGAGGGACAGTAGGTCTCCTAACACGTGGAGAGGGACAGTGGCGTCTATACAGTTAGGAGAGGGACAGTAGGGAGATTACAGTATGGA